AAACGAACCGAAGGTTCAGATTTAGGGGCCTGGGCCAAATTGGAGCTTCGCAAGTGTTCAAAAGTACGTGTAAGGAAAATCCCTTTTCCTTATCGAGCCTCGCTAACATCGAGCACAGCCCTGACTTTTGGAAGTCCAGGCTCGGCCCGACAATTCGGGTTGGAAATACCTTCGAGACCCCAAGCCTACACGCGGTGTCGCATCCGACACTTACGAGACCCGAGGCGACCCAAACCACCTTGCATGTGTTTTGTGGCCTTCCTTGAGGCTCTCTTGCTAGGCTAGCTGTGCTTGTATTTAGCCCTGTGCTTCATTTGTACTCGACGCACTTTAATCACGACCTCAGTATTGCATTACCTCAGTTTTGCCCTATCCGGAGATTATCATAACAGCTGGTATCAGAGTTACGTTCCTGTTCATTTAGGCTTCCGTAGTGAGGTGGTTTTTAGAGGGACAGGAGCTTCTTGCGGTCCTACAGGAACTTCTTTAGTTCCGCCAACTTTGTCGTGTACGCTCCACGTCTCTAACGTTGCAGGTGCGCGTAGTGTCTTTAGTGGCGTTAGCTAGTTAGGGTAATTCATGGTCAATAGCCCTCCTTGCCGTAGTACTAGAAATATGAGTCCTGAGCAAATAGCTGAGTTGTCAGAGGCGGCAGCAAGCGCATCCATGCTGAAGGTGAAGGTTGGCGAGATGATGGCGAAGATGGAGGCCATGGCCCTCGAGCTTGCCGCGTTGAAAGAGGAAAACGTGAGCCTTTGCCAGACGTGTGGTGCGACGCGTCAGGAGTCGCTTGTTACCGTGGATGAAGACCGTGCGAGCGCGCATCAACCACAGGTGACGTCAGCGATACGTGACGACAGTTCGAGCAAGTGATGGGCAGTTGTGAAGATCAAACCTGCCATGCCCCCGTCGTTCAGCCCACTGAAGAAGCACACTACGCTGAGTGGGTGGCTGTTCGCCATGGAAATGTTCTTCAATGCCGCCGACGTCAACGACGATGAGACACGCGTCAAGTTGGCGTGTCTTTATTACGTGGACCTGCATTAAGTTGGTTTTGACAGTACGTGACGTCACGAGGGACTCTAGCAGACCGGCAACAGGCGATGGACGGGGAGCAATGATTGGCTTCAACTTCTACAGGATCCTTGTTTGGTGTGGCCGAGAGTCTTACCTGGCAACAGTGGGGTGCACTGCTTCGCCGGCGCTTCGAGCATGTATCTGCATGCGAAAACGCTCGTGTGAAGCTGCACGGATGGCGTCAAGTGGGTTGTGTGCTGGAGTACACGTCATCCTTCCTCGCCATCTGCGACAAAATTGACGATCTACACAAGATAGAGAAAACGAGTCAATACATCCTAGGGCTGAAACAGGGGGTCCAACGCGAAATTCGCATGAGCTGCCCGACGACGTTCCTGGAAGTGCAACCGGTTGCAGAGTCGTGGACGAGAACAGTGTATGGCTGAGGGCGAATTTTCGGGAGGGAATTCATTTTCGAGGGCAGAACAGTTACCCATCCATCAACGGCATGGCGGCACCGTCAGTTAACATATTTTCAGGCAGGTGTTATATAAGTGGCCAGTGGGGTCACATCATGCGGGGCTGTCCGGAGTTGCATAAATCAAGAGCTAACAGTGGAAGGAAGCCGGAAAATGGACAGCACCAGTAGCAGTCCGGCCCCTACTTACAGTATGAGGCTTCGTCGCCCCGAAGATCACCATTCCCACCGAGTCGTTCTGCCGATCTATGCGATCGACCATACCGGTTAAAGGAGAGTGAACCTGTTGACTGCCCTGTGCTAGTAGAAGGGCACGTTGGCAACACCAGATTAAAAATATTTGTGGTCAGTGGAGCATCACACTGTCTATTCGATGTGACAAGAGCGAAGAAGCTGTAGCTGCAAATGGAGCGGTGCATGCCCGAAATTGGCGCGCGGGTGGTTGACGACACGCCACTTGCAATACGGGAGCGGGTGAAACACGTTCGCATTGATTGCGACAGCCAAGTTAGTTTCGCCATAAAGATGCTGGCGACAACTTTGGACGGCCGCGGGCGCGACTGGCTTCGCACGTATAATGTGAGCATCGATTGGAGGAATGGCGACATTCGTCTGAAGTGGGGTGGCGGACGACGACTACCGAAGTGGAAACCACCCGACCCTCAGTCAACACTGGTGAACAACGTGACTATCAAGCGAGTGATGGCACGTGGCGTGGACGTCTACGCCGTCCGATGGATCGCATCAATGGAGGTGGCTGAACACACCGATCTTGAGAAGCTGTGTGCTTCGGTACCTGAGGACTTGCCAAAGATCGTGCGCAAGTACAAGAAGATTTTTCCTCATAACCTGCCGCCCGGCCTACCACCCGCACGACCACACGATCACTAGATTGAGCTGGAACCTGGAACGCAACCGACCGTCCGATCGCAATGGAGGCTGACTCAACCAGAGCTGATAGAGCTCTGTATGCAACTGGATTATCTACCGGAGAAAAAAATCATCCGCCCATCCTACGCTGCACCGATTCTCTTCACCCCCAAAAAGTACGGAGGACTTCGGATGTATACCAATTATCGAACGCTCAACAATATCACCATCAAGTTCCGTTGCCCGATTCCGTTAGCCGACGATCTCATCCACCAACTTTGCAAGGCCAAGATTTTTTCCAAGATTGATCTACGAGAAGGTTACCACCAGATTCCGAAGCTAATATCCCGAAGACTGCCTATCGAACCCGTTACGGAAGTTACGAGTATACCGTGCTGCTGTTTGGTTTGACGAATGCACCCTCAACTTTTCAACTGACCATGAACGAAGTCTTTTGCTCGCTGCTGGAGAAGTGCATCATCGTCTACCTGAATGACACCCTGGTGTTTAACACCTCTCGAGAACAACATTTGAAGGACCTGGAAGCAGTTTTTACCCTCAGCGATCAGCATCGACTCATCACCAAAGGCTCTAAGTGCGAGTTCTTAAAGGAGGAGCTCGAATTTATGGGCCACGTCATCTCCATCAAAGGCGTTAAAATTGACCCGAAAAAATCGACACTATTCGCGACTGGAAGCCGCCTAACAATGTCAAGAAGTTGCAGAGTTTTCTGGGATTCGTCAACTACGTGCACCGCTTTATCCCTAAAACGGCAGATTTACAAGCCCCCTCGTAAACCGACTTGCTACGGAAGGGAGTTTTTTATGAGCGGGGGGGGGGTAGGCAGCAAGCTGCATTTGACCAACTAAAAACTTTCCTGATGACATCACCCGTTCTTCGTATCGCCGACCCCGACCACCCGTACGAAATGGTTCCAGATGCTAGCGACATCGCCGTTGGTGCATTACTGTTAGAGGACTTTGGCGAAGGCCTGCAGCCAATTGCCTATGACTCGTGAAAACTCCAAGGCGCTGAACAGAATTACTCGGTTTACGACAAGGACATGCTCGCGATCGTCAACGCTTTCAAGACTTGGCGCTGCTACATATCAGGTGCCGACGTTATTGTCCGAACAGACCACAGGTCCCTACAGCTCCTCCGAGACCAACCGACCCTCAATCTACGACAGATTCGTTGGCTCAAATATCTCGAGTCCAACTTTCACTACCGCATCACCTACAAAAAGGGGGCAAATAATATTGCCGATGCCCTTTCCCGCCCTACTACCCATACAGCCGCCATACTAATCACCAAAGCTAACCCGCTGCTAACTGGACTGTTTACCCACGGCTACAATACTGATCCTCTCTTCACCGTTAACGGCCACCAGGCCTTGACCACTCAACGAGGCCACCACCATCTAAATGCTGGGACTGGCCAAATTGGGGTTCCATCATACCGACTATTACAGGAGTTACTGATACAAGAGGTTCATGACGCTAATTGCTGAAGAATTTTCGAGGTTGATAAACCATTGAAAATGCTCCAATGTTATTAACGCTGGCCGAATGCGAGTCATGACGTTCAGCAATATGGGCGATTGTTAGCGATCGTGACCCCAATTCACGTCCAACTTCTGGATGAAAATGTGGGAACAGTACGGTACACGTCTCCATCGGTCCACGGCTTACCATCACAGACCGACGGTCAGACTGAACGGACAAATCAAACCATAGAGCAGCTGATACGAACAATCTGTACCGACCCGACCGAATGGGAAGATTCCCTTCCCTTGATCAACGCCCCTTCGTCCACGACTGCCCAATCACCGTTCTATCTGAATTACAGTATAAACCCCATGACTCCCACTACACCTTTAGTTTAGAGTCCCGCCCCACGGCCACAGCAATTTGTCAAGGAGTTACAAACGATACAGAAAAATGCTATCGATGCTATTTCAAAAGCCTATCTCACGGCCAAACGGTATGCGGTCATGCATCGACGGGATTTACCCATGGCTCCTGGGCAACTCGTCCTTCTGGAAACCAAGAATTTAGGGTCATAAACCCCGCCGAGATTCTGTGGGCCCTTCCGGATTGTTCGAATGGTGACATCTGTCACCGCCAAGTTACTGTTACCGGACGACTGGCGTATCCACGATTCATTCCACGTCGGCCTCCTTTGACATTTCGTTGCAAATACGGCTGATCTCGATCGTCAAAGACTCTACCCTTCAATCAGACCCGTCACCGAGCTAACCACTGAACCACATCCTACCGAATCCGCCGAGACCAAGGTCAACGGATTTTGGAATTTCTTGTTCGATTGGTTGACCGTACGTACGACGATGACGACATGTGGGTCCCATCCGCTACCCTCGAAAACCACCCATTGATACAGACCTATTTACACGATCGGGCTGCTCCAAATGTGGGTACTCTCGTCTAGGAGGGGAGAAGGTGTAAGGAAAATCCATGTTTCCTTATCGAGCCTCGCTAACATCGAGTACAACCCTGACTTTTGGAAGTCCAGGCTCGGCCCGACAATTCGGGTTCGAACTATGTTCAAGACCCCAAGCCTACACGCGTGGTCGCATCCGACACTTCCGAGTCCCAAGGCGCCCCAAACTACCTTGCGTGTGTTTCGTGGCCTTCCTCGAGGCTCTCTTGCTAGGCTAGCTGTGCTTGTATTCTGCCCTGTGCTTCATTTGTACTCGACACACTTTAATCACGACCTCACTATTGCATTTCTCAACTCCTATCCAGAGATTATCATAACACTACGAGGCGCAGAACATCTAGGTAAGTAGGAGAAACTATCAAAATTGAGAAGTGAATAATGGTTAGAGTGAGAGTACACACAGATATACCTAAGTGTTGTACTCTCTAAGAGGCGACCCTATATAGTCTATACAAACATGACAAATACACATGTTTGACACACCCCCTAGACTGCATAGGGGAATGCCCTAAACAAACAGCTCAGGGCGGCACTACTAGTCCAACCTCTGAGACAAGGGTCTGAGAGACCAGTCAGAATGAGTACAAACAAGGCAAGAACAAGAGCAGGGCGGCACTACTAGTCCAGCCACTGGGAGAGGACACAAGTCCAGTCTGAGTATACGTATAAAGGACAGTACAAAGTCAAGGTCCTAGCAAGTGAGAGGCTACAGGAACTAGACCAAGCTGTACACAGTGCCGCTGATGATCTTTAGGCGCAAGCGCCTTCGTAAAGATATCAGCCGTGTTGGCACCTGAGGCCAAGTGTACTACGCGAGCCTGACGTCGCTGTTGTAGCTCACGCAGGAGGAAGTACCGCAGCTGAATGTGCTTTGCTCTGCCCTCGAGTCGAGGCTCCTGACACAGGAGGATCATGGCCCTGTTGTCAGCGAACAGGACCGGGGCAGAGCTAGGCCGCTCACCTAAGTCAGTGAGCAAGAAGGTCAGCCAGCGGAGCTCCTGTGCCGCCATGGCACCAGCGTAGATCTCAGCCTCACAGCTGGACTGCGCAACAGACGAGGAGCGGGTAGCTCTCCACGAGACGGCACCTGAGCCAAGGCTGAAGCAGTAGCCCTGGGTAGACCTGAGTGTCTCAGCGTCGTCTGCCCACAAAGCGTCTGTGTGTCCAGTAAGGACCACTGGCATGCGTCCTCCTAGCACTAACCCCATGCCCGATGTACTAGCAAGATAACGCAGAACCCTCTTAGCGGCAGATCAGTGCAGCAGTCGGTGTCTGCCTGTGGCCACAAAGCGAGCCAGGATGCTGAGAGGGTATGCGAGATCTGGGCGAGTGCAAGTCATCAGGTACATGAGGCAAACCAGCTCTGCGTAGGGGCCGCTGGGCTCTACCAACTCCTCAGACACTGGAGCGGAGAGTCTGTGGTCTACAGGCAGAGGGGTGGGCTGTGCAGAGGAGAACTGAAGGCTGAACCTCTGAAGGACCTGGCGCACCAAGTGTGACTGAGTCAGGGTGATGGTGCGCGCAGCTCTGTCCCTGGAAATCTGCAAGCCAAGGTAACGGCGCAGTTCTCCAAGGTCAGTGCAGGTGTGTCTCTTCAGCAGCTCTGCCTTCACGGAGGCCAGTGCGTCCCTGTCAGCTGTGGCAAAGACCAGGTCGTCGACGTAAACAAGGATGTAGAACGGAGTCTGGCCAGCACGAACGAAGAGTGAAGGGTCTGCGGAAGACGGAAAGAACTGCAGGTCAGCAAGCGTAGCACGGAGAGTGTCGTGCCACTCACGGGGAGCCTGGCGCAGGCCGTAGACGGGGCGCCGCAGGAGCCACTGGGTCCCAGGAGGGCTGACACCGGTGGGGACTGCTGCTGCGGCGGCACAACGGCGACACCGGGACCGCAAGCTGCTCCTCGGCTACCACCGGAACTCTCCACACCAGCACCCCCAGAGGGACCACCCCCAGGGCTACCGGGACGAGCACCCCCAGAGTCAGCGAACGGGTGCTGCGACGGCGGCGGCGGCGGCGGCGCAGCGACAACGACGGCTGCAGCGGCGGCAGAGGCGGTGGAGGGGGGACTGGGGAGGGGACGCAAGGGGAGGGGCGGCCGGCGAGGACTGAACAGGAGGGCCACCAGAGTCAGAAGACTCCTCAACCGGGTCCACGACGGAAGGGGGGTGACGTGGGACACACCAGAGGGGGCGGGACGGGGAGGAGGAGGAGGAGGGCAGGGACTACCGGGGGAGTGACCAGGAACAGGGGGGGGTAACCGGGGGACCACGGTGGGGGAAGCGACGGTAGTAGGAGACGGACTCGTCAAAGGTGACGTCACGAGAGTGAAAGAAGCGGTGAGACGGCGGGTGGTAAAAGTGCCAGTCGGACGCGTCAAGGGGAAAACCGAGGAAGACGCAGGGAAGGGTGCGGGCAGTGAGCTTGTCCGTGCCGGAGGCACGGACGTGAGCAAGGCAGCCCCAGACGTGGAACGCAGACGCGTCACCAGGAGACCCAGTCCAAAGACGAGTCGGCGAAACCTGCGGCTGCTGAGGGTGCGGCCACAAGTTAAGCTGGTGAGAAGCGTAGCGCACAGCGAACGGCCACAGAAAATGGGGTGCACCGGCATGGATCATGGAGGTGCGAGCCACCTCCATGACCAAACCGATGCGTCGCTCAGCGACCCCATTCTGCTGTGGGGAGTCCGGTAGGGTGAACGTCTGGGTGATGCCCTCCGCACGACAAAAGCGACCAAGGACACCTGAGGCAAACTCGCCACCACGGTCGAGTGAAGACGCAAGACAGGGAGACCGCGGTGGACACGCGCAGAGACAAGCCAGGGGATGAGAGCGCCAGGCACGTCGGCCTTGCGCTCCAGGGGAAAGACTGTGGTGTAACGAGTGAAGTCGTCGACAAGCACAAGGAAGTAGCGCTCTCGACGCGGCCCAGGGACGGGGGCGGGGCCCCAGACGTCCAGGTGCAGGGTCTGCAGCGGCGCGGCGGTAGGGGGAAACGAGGAGGAGTGCGGGGCACGGCGAAGCCGACCCTCGACACAAGGCGTGCAAGGTGGGGCTGGGGAGGAGGGAAACGCGGGGAGGAACCTGGGAGACCAAGGACAAGACCGTGCTGGGATGTGACGCAGACGCGGGAGCGCAGGGTGACCTAGGCGGTGGTGCCAAAGGGAGTCGGGTGAGTGAGGGACGACAGGAGCAGGCAGCAGCAACCTGGGTAGACGCAGCCACCTGAGGAGGCGCCCAGCCGGGGGGTCACGGTGTCCAGAGTGAACAGGCCGGACACCGGGTCCCGGGGGAACGTGGACAGGGGGGCACCAGTGGCGGCCTCGGTACAGACAGCATACCGCTCGTGACCAGGGAACGTAGTGGTGACGCCAAGGTCCTGGAGGCAGCCGACACCAACTAGGTTCCTGGAGAACGAGGGGATATGCAGACCTGTGAGAGAGCCCGAAGGAACCGCCGGACAGGGAAGGGTGGTGGAACTGCGGGCGACGACCGGACCGCCGGAGGGGTCAGCAAGAGAGACGGCAGCTGGGACAGGAAGCGGCGTCAGGGTGGTGGAGTCGCGGAAGAAACACCGAGAAGCGCCAGAGTCCAAGGTGAAGGAAAGCGAAGCAGAGGCGTCTGGCACGGAACGACGGCGGAAGCACCAAGACTACACAAAGCAGGGGATCCTACGCCTGACGCAGCAGGGGAGGCTAAGCTAGGCACACCTACACTAGGCAACAGTGAGTAATAAGCGGGAAGCACACTAGAGTCATCAGCATACATCACATGCAGAGCAGCAATGGCATCCATGTCCATATCAAAATCTGAATCTTACGACTAAGCAAACTGTGCCAGTCCGGGAGGTCTGGCGACGGGCCGAAGCGCTGACGAAAGAGGTCGTCCAGGCGACGAAAACAGCGGGGAGTGGAGTGACCGATCTTACCGCAAACGAAACCGCGGCGAGGACCGGTCTGGATCTGGTACTGACAACGCCCGCCGCCAGAGCCACCACTCGGCACACCACCACGCGCCCGGCCACCGCCAGCGCCGGGCCACCCGGGCGGGAGGACACTCGTCTGCCGCGTCTGCGACGGCTGCTGCGAAGGCTGCGACTGCGGCGGCTGCTGCGGCTGCTGCAACTGCAGGGGCGGCGACTCAGCTGGACTGGGCAGGGTCCCCTCGTCCGCTCCAGCACCAGACGACCCGACCCCACCACTACCCCTCCCGCACCCCCGCCGCCGCCGCCCCCCGCCTTGGGGCGGCGGCCCTTCCCCGAACGAAACTGCGCTGCAGCAGCAGTCTCAGCCACTGCGGCAGAGCCGTCGGAGAAGGGTACACTGGGCGGGGGCACAACCTGAAAGATAGGGACCGCACGACACCGCTCGCCTGGGCGATGGAGCGGTGACGGGTCTCTATCACAGTCAGGGTGTCTACAAAGTCAGTGTGGGTGAGGTCGGCGGGGTGAATGCTAAGGAAGCGGTCGCGGGCGACAGCAAGGCGGTCAGGAAGGCGGGTGGCAAGCCAGGTAGAGTGTAGAGGTAATGGGCGGCTGGTGGGCTCTAAGCTGTGCGTCAGTGCAGGCAGCGCGCCAGGTCTATCGAGCGCAGGTGGCAGCGAGGTCAGAGACAGTGGGGAAAGACGCAAGGTCAGGAAAGAGCATCGGGAGGATCAGGCGACCCACCGAGGCAGCCGGAGGGGTGGAATAGCGCTGGATGACAGCATCTAAGTATGCCTGAGCATGGTGAGAGACCTAAAGCGAGGGCGCTTGGACGGGGGAAGGGCGTTGCTGATGGCAAGCTGTGCGACAGCATCGCAAGAAAGCCAGACAGAGCGCGCACGGGCAGTGGCAGCAGTGGAATCGCGCTCAGTGGGTGTGGAGTCAACGGGCAGAATAGCAGGGGGTCTGGGCAGGGGAGCGTACCGTCAAGGTGTGCGGAAAGCGGTTCACCATCCTGCCGCTGGCCAGTGAGTTGGGGACGGAGGTCGGCACGCCACGCGTCGAACTCGAGAGGCTGGCCTTCAGCGTCGAAGCGAAGCTCCGCCGCCATCAGGAACAATGCAGTGCAGTGCAGGCAGTGCAGCAAGGTGGAGTGCGGTGCCGTGCGGTACAGTGCGGTGTAGGGCGGTGCAGTGCGGTGCAGGCATTACAGGGTGGTGCGGGGCCGGTGCAGTGGCGGGCAATACGGTGCAGGGCAGTGCAGGGCAGGGGGGGGGGGGGGGGGGGGTGGGACGTACCGTGAGGGGACCGGGGCGGGGGCAGGGACGAGCGCAGGGGCCGGGCCGGTGCAACGGGGCCGGGCGGGCGCGACGGGGCCGGGCGGGCGCGATGGGGCCGGGCTGGTGCGACGGGGCCGGGCGGGTGCGACAGTGCCGGGCCGGTGCGACAGGGCCGGGCGAGCAGGACGGTGGTCCAGGAGGGGTGCACCGGGGCTGGGCGGGGGCGACGGGGCCGGGCGGGTGCGACGGGGCCGGGCGGTTGCGACGGGGCCGGGCAGGGGGCGACGGGGCCGGGCGAGTGCAACGGGGCCGGGCGGGCGTGACGGGGCCGGGCTGGTGCGACGGGGCCGGGCTGGTGCGACGGGGCCGGGCTGGGGCGACGGGGCCGGGCGAGTGCGACGGGGCCTGAAGGCGTGACGGGGCCCAGGAGGGGGGGGGGCTCGATGCGGCCCAGGAGGGGCGCTACGGGGCCCAGGAGGGGCACGACGGGGACCCAGGAGGGGCGCTACAGGGGCCCAGGAGGGGCGCGACGGGGCCTAAGAGGGGCGCTACGACGCCCAGGAGGGGCGCGACGAGGCCCAGGAGGGGCGCTACGAAGCCTAGGAGGGGCTCGACGGGGCCCAGGAGGGGCGCTACGGGGCCTGGGAGGGGCGCGACGGGGCCTGGGAGGGGCGCTACAAGGCCCAGGAGGGGCGCGACGGGGCCCAGGAGGGGCGCTACAGGGCCTAGGGAGGGCGCGACGGGGCCCAGGAGGGGCGTTACGAGGCCCAGGAGCGGCGCGACGGGGCCCAGGAGGGGCGCTACGGAGCCCAGGAGGGGCGCGACGGGGCCCAGGAGGGGCGCTACGGGGCCTGGGAGGGGCGCGACGGGGCGTGGGAGGGGCGCGAGGGGGCCCAGGAGGGGCGCTACAGGGCCCAGGAAGGGCGCGACGGGGCCCAGGAGGGGCGCTACGGGGCTTAGGAGGGGCGCGACGGGGCCTGGGAGGGGCGCGACGGGGCCAGGAGGGGCGTTACAGGGCCCAGGAGGGGCGCGACGGGGCCCAGGAGGGGCGCTACGGAGCCCAGGAGGGGCGCGACGAGGCCCAGGAGGGGCGCTACAGGGCCTAGGAGGGGCGCGACGTGGCCTGGGAGGGGCGCGACGGGGCCCAGTGAGGGGTGCGACGGGGCCCAGGAGGGGCGCTAGAGGGGTGAGCGGAAGCGGTAGGTGGGGGGGGGGGGGGGGGGGGATCCTACCTACGCGTGATACCATATCGAAATTGAGAAGTGAATAATGGTTAGAGTGAGAGTACACACAGATATACCTAAGTGTTGTACTCTCTAAGAGGCGACCCTATACAGTCTATACAAACATGACAAATACACATGTTTGACAGAAACTACTTGCAACGTCTCCTTACTTACTCGATCAAACACTAGGCCAGCTAGGTAGCACATCTCCTCATGACATTTTAGGGTGTGATATCTTTCAACAACCTCCTCGATGGAGCACAACTGGATTACTGTACTTCCACAGCACGTGGACGTTCGACTTTTGATCAACTCAAAAGCCGTCTTCACGTGGAAGAGTTCTCCCCCCGGTGTGATTGGTCGTAACTTCGGCGCGCTGGATGCTCGGATGTCTCCAATTCGTGCTCCCTCTGCTGACAAAGATAACACCCGAAAGGGTTTTTATGACACATCTAATTTCCCCCCACCCATTCAAGCAAGTTGAAATCGCGTTGAGCCATACGCCATTCCCAGATTCTCCCATTCATTTCACACCACTCCCAATGCAACCAGGGAGAGTAGAACATGCAACTTGCACCTCGTCCCCCCTCTCTCGACTCGCTCCCAGCGCACCTATTTCCGCCTTGTCACGGCCAGCGCATTCCGTGGCTGAGTCAGAATGATCATCCGAGGGCAAGCTTCCATTGAACAACAGCGCTTCTGTGGTGCTGGATTCTAGCGCGCGAGCAATTGTTCCGTTATCGGTGACGTAATTCCTCTTTCCTCTGACTCGGCAAAAAATAGATGGAGCATTGACGTGCTTTGGTATGATCAAAGGCCTCTCGATATCCTAGGGGTTACCCTGCAGTTTCCGAGTTTGCCCAGGATCCGACCCGCCCAGGCTGGGTAGCCCTAAAAGTTTGACTGTTTTTAACTAGGGAAGCGAACCTATACATTAGATTTTTATGGGCGGGTCTATCCCATACTCGGAAATTGGCCGTGGGATAATTCCGGCCTACCTGTCCATGGACGGGTATCGATATTCTGAATGCGTCAAAAGCAGGGCTAGGTTAAACATTAACCCTGTTTTCCTTGAAAAAGCAGTGTAGTTACCATGACTTCCAGAGGCATGGATCGAATCCGTCTCGGCTTCCAGCGCCACGTTAGAACAGAAGTTCGTTAGAAGATCTCTAGACAGGGGCTGCATCCCTTCACGATAAATCCAAAATATGCAACACCTTTCCTGTCCAGCGCTTCATCAGCGGAGCGGCATGGTTGGACCTGCACATGCAATCCACTCGCAAATGACCTCATTTCTGCGATCCAAGTCCAGCAAGAAACGAAACTGGCATTGTATGGGCGGGTGAGCTGAGCTGAGCAACCAGCGCGGTGGAAACACACGCTTGAGCCACATACACGAGGAGAAGACCGCCGCCAGCGCGGCAAAGTATGCTGGGCGTGCTTCGAAGAAACACAGCACTGCTGCAACGCCACACCTTTCGTGGACGAAACTCCTCCTGCTGGCATGCCAGCGCAGACGGAATTACAGGGAGTTGGAATTCTGACGAAGGTTTTTTTTTTTTTTTTTTTTTTTTTCAGGCAAGAAATCACAAAATCAAACTGCGGAAAGTATGGACTTCGACTTTTACTCGAGAGACCATTTCAGCACCCAACGCAACTGGTTGGAGTGGTATTGGAGACCCAGTAGCGAGAGGAACACTCGGGTCCAGCGTCGGGTGTAAACAACAAGCATGAAACAAGAAAATCTATTGCTGAGAAGGACCAGCCAGGAAAATCTCGGCCGTTCTGCAAGGCGAAAAGACGTCCTTTCCCCCCACACCTTCTAACCGTTCTCCCTTCACCCCATCTCCACCATTCCCAGCCACACTAAAAAGCATCTCTCTCTGCTGTGCTGTACGGCATGCATGCATCCCCCACGCCATGGTTGTCTCCTCTCCCCCAACCTCTCTTGCTCTCACTCCCTCGAGGTGTGCGTGCATCAACAGACAGACACCGCACTCTGAACTAGCGCTTGCCTTACTCGATCATCCATCCGCTGTTGTACAGGATCATCCCCCCCCCACCCCCAATTGTCTCCTCCAATCAATCCCCTCCAATGTCCTAGATAAAAGCCACCCTCATGCATTTCAATAACCACCCATCGAATTTGCACCTTCACACACTTTCTCGAGACTGCCTTACTCTCCTCACCGAGCGTTCCTGAACCTGCCACAGCCACAATTCGCCTATATCCATGGCACTTCACTTCAGCTCACCCATCCCACACAACTCGCACTTCCACATGTTCCTCCCTCTCACCCCAGCCATGGAGCCTGTCCCAGCTATAGGCTTTCCGCTCTTCGCGGACTCGCTACACGCAAGCAAGCGCCTTCGATCCTTCTCATCTTCCCCCGTCGCCGTCCCTCCAGCAACTCTCCTCGACACGACCCTGAGCTTATCCTCCTCTAATCCCATCGCCACCCCGCCGCCGTGCCGGCCGTGCCACGGCGCAACATTGGAACAGTGCTCCCCTGCGCCTTGCGCGCCGTGCGACGGCAACACCAATGCTGCGCTCCCCTTCCTCGCGATGCTCCGCCGGTTCAAGCCGCAAGGAGCCCACATGATTCCGCATATCTCGCACATGATCAGCGCCAGCCCGCTCCAGCGGACCAATCAGCCGCTCGCCACGGTTCATGCAGCAACTCCCGCCGCAGTTCCCGCCGCGCGCTGTCCGCTCCCGCCTGTGGAAGCCCTCCGCCGCGCCGTGAAACGCTCGCACGCCGCAGCCGGCCTCGACGAGGAGGTTACCAGCCGCCCTCGGGCCGCACTCCCCTCAAATCTCCCCTCGCATTTGCCGTCAAATGCGCTCGCAGCCGGTGCCGCGGCTTCGGGACTCCCGGCAGTGCTTCCGTCCGACGCTGACGTGGCGGAGCGGCTCGTGAAGTACGACAGGCTGACGTCATCTCTCCGTGGCTCCCTACCGCCCGCGAATCTCGCGCAGTGGGACAAGGCGGTGGGCAAGCTTAGAGACCGAGTCGCGATGAAGGAGGAGTTTGGAAACGACGTGAACGGGTTTCTGCTGTTCCTCCACGCGCAGCTCGGCGCGCAGCAGCCGTCGGCGCGCAAGGCGCTTCAGCTGTTCGCGGCATTCAAGCAGGCGCAGAGGCAGAAGCAGAATGCGGGAGCCGCCGCGATGGGAACCGAAGTGTCGGCGGCGGATTCGCAGCGTGTCTCTGTAAAGGTTCAAGCTCCTTTTCGCGACTACGTGTCGTCAGACGACGACACGACTTCCGTGTGCAGCAACCACCCCGAACCTGCGGAACTGATAGAGGCTCGGGCCGAGCCTCAGGCTGGCTCGACACTCCCCCGCCTGAACTCATCTGGTCCCGTGCCTTCTGCTAGCGGGTTTCAAGGGGAGGTGTGCTCGCAGCAGCGGAATGTCGAGCAGCTGAGGTTGGGTCAGCCGGGTGCTGCCCTCGGGATTGACGCCACGTGTCCTGCTGTTGCGAAGAAGATGCTTTTTGAGCTTCAGTCTGCTGTGGTTCAGTTGGAGAGAAATGCTGCGATGGACGTGGGGATCAAGGCGGAGAGCCTTGCCGTCCTGCGGACCGCGCAGAACCATTTATTATCGCGCCTCGCCTCTGTTGTCCGCTCGGTGTAGATCGGTACTGAATGGTCCCCAACCGAGCGTGGCGCGTGCCTCATTGCACGCTTGGAGAGTGCGGGGTGGATAATCCTCGTTACAACAAAAATCGTGCAAGACTCAAGCCTTCTCACTTTGTTGCAAAAGCTGTAGCCGTGATTTCCGGGATGCTCCATGCATCTCAATGCTTTTCTTTTTGCTTGCCTGAAAGGCAGCTTCTATATCTGGTTTGTAATTTCATGTGTATAAGAAGAAATGAATTGTGTCTTCAAGCTCATTTTAGACTATTTGCTTAAACTTGGTTCAATAATACAAGGTATTCTAGTATATACCATCCGCTTGTGTAACAGTCGTTTCCGAACATATTTCGCACTCCCCGCATGCCCGCACACAGGTCTTCCGCCAATGCTATCCAAACTAATCTCCTTCCGCCATCGCACTGCTTCCCGCGCATACGCTTTTCCCCAGCGCAAGTCGCTCCTTAGGATCCCCTTCATCTTACCACTAGAGAGTGCGTTAGGTTCTAGCTGCTTCATGTAGGGTCAGGTTCTGCTTTATGTAGGGTAGAGAGTTCCTCGCTGGCGTCACGTTCCTCACACGAAGTTTTTTTCTGCCTTGGTTTGGCTAATCCGTTCCTCGTCACCTCGTTTCGAGGCATTTCGTGGACGAGAGGATAAGTAGCGGTTCCATTGCCTGAGAATTGAAGTGGACGAACGAACGACGAACGACGAACGACGTGGTACTGATCAAGCGGAAAGCCTGGTTGCTTTCGAAGCGAGCCTCTGAAGCATATACGATCCTGATTCGGTGATCTTAGCATCGAGCAGGTTCTGAGAGAAAAGGGTGAATAGACAGCAGAATACCTGGCTATCGATACCTAGTTGTTTCATTCTCTTGATATCAGTGTCTGGACAGCAGGTTACCTGGATTTCATTTCTTAGACTGTCGATTCTCTAGGCACGAATACTTTAGGCAATTGAATTCCTATTACCAGTAGCTTAACTTTCGGATTTCTTCGAATTTCTTAAAACCAGTACGTAGACTTCCAAGATGGGAGATTCCAAGCCCTCCGGAGGCGGCGGCGGCGGCGGAAGCGGACTGCAGCTCGATCTGGACGCGTTCGGTCGCCGCCTGAAGCATCTCTACGACAGCTGGCGAAAGGACGAAAGCCGTTCGTGGGTAACACGAGCGCGTTCGCCGTCGCCACGCCTCCGCCGAGCGAAGACATGCGGTACCTGAAATCGTCCGCGCTGCAGATCTGGTTACTGGGTTACGAGTTCCCCGAGACCGTGATGGTGTTTCTGCAGGGCGGAGGAGCTGGCGGGGAAGGTGGCGGAAGCGGGGAAGCGGGGGAGTGGTGCACGTGGTGTGCAGCCAGAAGAAAGCGCAGCATCTGGAGGCCGTCAGGCGCGTGTGTGCGGAAAAATCCGGTACGGTGCGAGAGATATCCGATACGGTGCGAGAGAAATCCGGTGCGGTTCGAGAGAAATCCGGTACGGTGCGAGGGAAGAACTTACGTGGGAGATGTGTGGGGTGAGTGGGAAGGAGAGCTGCGAGAGGACGCAGGGTGATGAGGGAGGGATCTGGGATCTGGACCATGCAGTGAAAAGGGTTTGCTCTCCCCCTTTGCCATTCCCTCCTTCCCCCCTCCCTCCCTCCCCCCCCCCCCCCCCCCCCTCCCTTCCTCTTCCCTCCCCATCCTCCCCCTCCCGTCCTTTCAGTATGTCTTTCGTATTCTTCAGGTACCGTAGAGATGGTATTCCACGATGGCCCTTCACCCCTCGCCCCACTCCTTCCGCTTCCCCTCTTCCTCCCCCCCCCCCCCCCCTCCTCCTCCCCTCCCCCGCCCCCATTTTCCGCCAGGCGGCATCGAGATGGTTCCGCACCCCAAGCCCCGCAGCGAGGACAGCCAGTAGTACTCCACCCCAAGTGGTCTTTCCCTTCCCCCCCCCCCCCCCCCCTCCTCCCCCCTTCTCTTCCCACCAGGCGAGGACAGCCAGTAGTACTCCATCCATGTGCCGTTTCCCTCCCCTCCCCCCTTTTCCCTCTCCCCCCCTCCCCCCTCTTCCCTCTCCCCCCCTCCCCCCTTTTCCCTCTCCTCCCCTCCCCCTTTTCCCTCTCCCCCCCTCCCCCTTTTCCCTCCCCCCTCTCCCCTTTTTCCTTCCCTCCCCCGTCCCGCCCGGCCCCCCCATGTCCCCAGGCGGCATCGAGATGGTACTGCACCCCAAGCCCCGCAGCGAGGACGGCTCATCCCAAATGGCGCAGGTCATCTCCGCCATCCGAGCCTCCGGCGCAGGCTCGGCAGGAGGAGGTCCGGTACGGCTGGGCGTGCTAGCCAAGGAAGCACCAGAGGGCGCGGTCATGGAGAAATGGGCGGCAGCAGTGGCGGCAGCGGCCAGTGGGGGCGAGGGGGGGGAGGGGGCAGTAGAGACGGTGGATGTGGGGCCGGCGCTCGGGGATGTGCTGGCAGTGAAGGACGATGGCGAGGTGATCAACGTCAAGAAGGCTGCTTTCCTCAGCGCGCAGGCCCTCAAGGTGAGGCGAGTGTTGGTATGGCATACGGGGAGGTGGGTTGAGGTTGGATGGAATGGAACGGATTGGGATGGGATGAGTTGGCCGTAGTGGCAGCAACGGCCGACGGGCGACGAGGGGGGGGGATGGGGGCTAGCAGGGGGAGGGGGCAGTAGAGACAGTGGATGTGGGCCCCGCGCTCAGGGACGTGCTGGCGGTGAAGGACGATGGCGAGGTGATCAACGTAAAAGAGGCGCACAAGTGCTTAAGGTGAGAAGAGTGGTCGTGGTGCTCCGTCTCGTTTTTCTTTCCTCCCCATCCACCTCTCAGTTTGTGGTGCTTAAAATATAGGTGCTGGCTGGATGAGGAGCGGAGCACGACCCTTCCCACCCCTCCCGTCTCCTCCTCTCGTTTCCCCGTCCTTCCTCCGTCCCCTCCCCTCCAGGCGTTCGTGGACTTTTGAGTCGACTCAAAAGCCGTCCTTCCTCCGTCCCCTCCCCTCCAAGCGTTCGTGGACTTTTGAGTCGACTCAAAAGCCGTCCTTCCTCCGCCCCCTCCCCTCCAGGCGTTCGTGGACTTTTGAGTTGACTAAAAAGCTGTCCTTCCTCCGTCCCCTCCCCTCCAGGCGTTCGTGGACTTTTGAGTCGACTCAAAAGCCGTCCGTCCTCCGTCCCCTCCCCTCCAGGCATTCGTGGTCCCCAAACCCGAAACCCTGATCGACGAGGAGCACAGTATGACCCTTTCAATCCCTTTCCATCCCACTCCTCCTCTCTTCTCCCTAATCACCCATCCTCTTAATCCCCTCCTCCAGGCGTTCGTGGACCATGAACGCCTGGAGTTCATTAAGAGTCATCCTCCTGGAGGTGTTGATGGACGAGGAGGGGAGCATGCCTCTTTCATTCTCTTTCCCTCCCTCCGCATCTCCTTCGCCCACCTCTCCCAGGCGTTCGTGGTGCCGAAGATGGAGGCGCTGATTGACGAGGAGCGCAGCATGACGCATCCATTCCCTCCTCCCTCCCTCCCTCCCTCCCTCCCTCCCTCCCTCCCTCCCTCCCTCCCTCCCTCCCTCCCTCCCTCCCTCCCTCCCTCCCTCCCTCCCTCCCACCTTTTTCTTCCCTCTTCACACCTCCCTCCCGCAGGCGTTTGTGGTGCCGAAGATGGAGGTGCTGAGCGACGAGGAGCGCAGCATGATTCGTCCCTTCCCTCCCCCCCTCGTCCACAATCCTGCCATCTCCTCCTTGTCTTACGCTCAGGCGTTCGTGGTGCCGAAGATGGAGGTGCTGATTGATGAGGAGCGCAGCATGACGCATGCGGAGCTGATGGAGCAGACAGAGGAGGTCATCACAGACCCTGCCAAGATCAAAGTCAAGCTCAAGCCCGACAACTGCGACATCTGCTACCCCCCGGTGTTCCAGGTGCGTGAGGCATCTACCCTCCACTACCCTCCCCCGATCTCACTACACTCCAGCGTTTTCAATAAGTGCAGCGTATGCTACCCCCTTAATGTTTAGGCAGGTGTGGCATCTGCTATGCGCCCGCGTTTTAGGGTTTGTTTGTGGCATGCGCTTGTGAGTATCTGGTAAGCTTGGATTTGAGGGTGTTGAGTTTTTTTGGTGTTAGGAAGCAGGTAAGGACACACGGTTTCAGTCCCCGAGTCTGGAGATTTCATATTGCAGGTGATTTCAGATGTCCCCCCTCTCGCCGCAGGAAGGTTGAGCAAACTCTTCTTTGCAATCCTGGATCTTCAGAAAGTCTACCTTCCCTCGAAGGCAGCTACCTTCCCTAGAAGGCAGTTACCTTCCCTAGAAGGTAGAGCAAGACGAGTTCCACCACCCTTTTTGCGAACAGAGGACATCTGAAGCCACTTGCTATGTGGAATCTCCAGACTCGGGGCACTGAACCCCCGCGCCCTAAATTGCTTTCTGATGCAAAACGTATTAAATGTCAAGTCCACCTGACACTCTCTTAGCAGACAACTGCGACATTTGTTAACCGCTCCGGTGTTCCAGGTATGTGAGCTTCTGCTACCTGCCCATCTCAGGTACTTACCACGATCTTTAAACTACCCTTGCTGCCTGGAAGGCAATATGATCTGCAGGCGAGCAGCGACGACCCTCTGTGCTACGACTCCATGGGCGTCATCACCTGTCCCATCAGCTGCCATTGTCTCATCCCTCCCCCCCCCCCATGTTTCCTTCCGCATTCCAGAGCGGAGGCCAGTATGATCTGCGAGCGGAGGCCAGTATGATCTGCGAGCGGAGGCCAGTATGATCTGCGAGCGGAGGCCAGTATGATCTGCGAGCGGAGGCCAGTATGATTTGCCCTCCCTTGTTTACTCCCTCCCTTCCAGAGCGGAGGCCAGTACGACCTGCGGGCGTCAGCAGTGAGCAGCGACGACCCCCTGTGCTACGACTCCATGGGTGTCATCATCTGCGCCATCGGCGCCCGATATGCTTCCTACTGCTCCAATGTGGCGCGCACCTACCTCATCGACGCTACCAAAGCACAAGAGAAGGCGTACCAAGTGAGAGGAGAAGGCAGACATAGGGGTTGCTCGTTTCAATCATCTGTGCCTGTGGCGCGAGATATGACCGCCATAAAAGTTATTACAGCTGAATCCCCTCTGCAAATCCATAAAAGCTGGGTCTCTTGAATGCTGAGGGCTCAGGAGGAGGCGGTTGGTGTGGTACATTTTCGGGTACAGTTGGGTCGTGTATGGCAGATTGTGGTTTTTTTTTACTGTGACCTCCACCACCGGGTGCTGCGGAAAGCGCAGGATGCAGCTATTGCTGCTATGAAGCTGGGGGCACGGCTGGGGATGTGTCCTGTGATGATTTGATTTGTGAATTCTTTTTGTTTCAACCCTTGTCAAATGCTGCCAAGAGCACAGGGGCCAGTGATTGCTGCGAGAAAGCCAGGGGCACGGCTGGGGGATGTGTACCGGCTACTTGGATGTCTGAATTTCTGGAACTTTGTTACTTGGACCCTCCACCAGGTGCTGCTGAGGGCACAGGAGGCAGCGATCGCTGCGATAAAGCCGGGGACGAAGCTGGGGGATGTGTACCGGGCGGCAGTGGCAGTGGTGGAGAGGGAAGCGCCGGAGCTGGTGGCGCATCTGACCAAGCATGCCGGCACAGGGATAGGCATCGGTGAGATGGGGTTGTCTATAGGTTTTCAGGTGGAGGTGCGGCTGGGGGATGCGTACCGCGTGACAGTGGCAATGGTGGAGAGGGAGGCTTCGGAGCTGGTGGTGCACATTGCCAAGCATGCGGGCACATGGAATGGCATTGGTGAGGTGGGGGTTTAGGGATTGCATTGGTGAGAGGGGGTTTGGGGATTTGCACAGTGTGTCGCATTACCTGCGGAAAGACATGAGCCTTCCCATGGTTAACACAGCAGCGAAGGAAGTGGTGAGTGGAAGAAAGAGAAGAATTGGAAGCAGAGATTGGATACACAAGAAAAGTATAGGCTGGACAAAGGGAGGTACAGTAGAGTACTGTAGTAGTTCGGTAATGAGCGAATCGAGGGTGGAGAAATTGGAATGTCGGAGTATCGAGGCGCGAGCAGGAACAAGGTGAAGTGCGTCAGCAAGGGACTAATCTGACGAGAAGCTGGGCCAAGGGCAATCTCAGTTCTCAAGGGGATAACAAGGAGGAGGGAGAGGAAGGAGAGAGACTTGGACGTGTAAATAGGAGGCGACTCAGTAGGACTATCGCTTTTCGCTTGTATGTTTTCCTTCTATACTGAAATTTTCTCTAATCCTACTGGAGTCTAGCAGTGGGGGAATTCGATCTCAAGTAGATCCGAGCAGGCGGCGTGCGGCTTGTATGGAGAGCTCGGTCCCACAGCCCCAGTAATAACCTACCAGAGGCAGAAGGGACATAAAGGGGGGAAGAAAGGCAATGAGGAAGGATAGGTGGAGTAAATGGGAGAGAAGGGAGAAGCACGACAAGTGCGGGTCAGGTGTGACATCGCATGGCATGGCGATCAACCCGGCGCTGGTTAAAGTGAAGCCCTGCACGGACTTTCGAGCCTCGTGTTTCCTTCCATGTGTCCCCTGCTATTTGTCTCTCGCTCCTCTTGAGTCGTTTGTTTGCCTTGCCACCCTCCCTCACACTTCCGAGAGGCCGGCCTCACGCTGAATGCCAAGAACGAGCGGACTGTCAAGCCAGGCATGGATTTTAACGTGGTGCTCGGGCTGCACGGACTCACCAACCCCTTCTCTCGGTCATATTCGCTCCTCCCCCCCATCCTCCCAACTTCCCTAATCCCCCTTCTTCCCCCGTGCTGAGTTCCGAGACGCAAGCCTCGCGCTGAACGCCAAGAACGAGCGCACTGTCAAGCCAGGCATGGCTTTTGAGGCGCCTCAATAGCGCTGAGCGCCAAGAACGAGCACACTCTCAAGCCGGGCACGGCGTTTAACGTGGTGCTCGGGCTGCACGGACTCACCAACCAGCAGGCTGATTTAACCCTTCCCTCCCCCCCCTCCTCTCTGCTCCACCTTTCATCCCCCCTGCAGAGTTCCGAGAGGCGGGTCTGACGCTGAACGCCAAGAATGAGCGCACTGTCAAGCCGGGCATGGCGTTTAACGTGGTGCTCGGGCTGCACGGACTCACCAACCCAGAGGCCGGGGGAAAGGAGGGGGGGGAGGCGAACGGGAGCGCAGAGGGAGGGGGCAAGGAGGGGGGGAAAGAGGGGAAGGGAAGCGCGAAGCTGAGGAGCTACGCGCTGCTGCTGGCGGACACAGTGACTGTGAGGAGCGCGGCTGACAAGGACCGATGGGTCGACGTTGCCACTGCTTCGGCCTCCAAGTCATTTGCTGACGTAGCTTACTCGCTTAAGGTATAGTATTTGAGGGTGTAAGTGTCTCTCTAGAGGGGTTGGGTGCTTAAATCAGGAGTTCTGGGGTTTAGGGTTTGAGCTTAAGGTAAGGTAGAGAGTCTGGCTTACATACATACACACTGAACCTGCAGTAGGAAAATCAGGAGGCGACAAAGGAGGAGCTGAGGGGGCAGCACAAGGCGGAGCTGAGGGAGCAGCACAAGGCGGAGCTGGCGAAGCAAGAGATCGAGGAGACGGCCAGGCGGCCGAGACCCTGCTTCATCTCACCCTCCCACTCCTCCTTCCCCTTCCCCCCCTCGTCCTCCTAATTTTGAGTCGACTCAAAAGCAGACGCATTACATGCAGCAGCCGAGACCCTGCTTCATCTCACTCACCCTCCCTCTCCTCCTTCCCCTTTCACCCCTCTTCCTCCTGTTGTTCTGCTGCCACGTGGCAGGGGGAAGATGAGGAAGAGGAGGACACCGACAAGGGGAAACGCCCAGCCGACGCAGGGGGGGCAGCAGAGCCCGCCGTGTTCGCCCGGGCGCACCTGCGATCCGAGAACCAGGAGGCGACTAAGGAGGAGCTGCGGCGGCAGCACCAGGCGGAGCTAGCGAAGCAGAAGATCGAGGAGACGGCGCGAAGGCTGGCGGCGGGGGGCCTGGGGGCGCGGGAGGGTGAGGGGGCGAAGAGACAGACGGGGGATCTGGTGTCGTATGGGGATGTGGACGAGATCCCACTTGCCATGAAGGACTACAAGATCCAGGTAAGGGGGGTCCATGCAAAACGGAAGGGTTTCTCCTTCCTGCTACTGAAGCACGGACCAGTCAAGTAAGGGGGGCGAGGGTGGGGTGGGGAGGAGGCAGCACCAGGCGGAGCTGGCGGAGCAGAAGTTGCAGGGGACGGCCAGGCGGCTGGCGGGGGGTGGACTGGGGTGGCGGGAGGGTGAGGGGGCGAAGAGACAGACGGGGGACCTGGTGTCGAATGGGGATGTGGACGAAATCTGCTTGGGTATGAAGGACTACAAGATCCAGGTGCGATAAGTTTGCTTGCTTTGATCAGCAACGCCACCAGCCAGCAGAACGGCAGCAGGCACATCTACATCCGCTCTTACACCTTCCTCCTCCTCCCCTTATCCCCTCAACCCTTAAAACCTGAAACCCTCCCCCCCCCCCCCCCCCCCTCCTCCCCTTATCCCCTTCTCCCCACTCCACTTCGTCAGGTCGATCAGAGGCACGAATCCGTCCTGCTGCCGATATACGGCCTGCTGGTGCCCTTCCACGTGTGCATGATTCGCAACGTCACCAGCCAGCAGGACGGCGGCCACATCTACATCCGCATCATCTTCAACGTGCCGGGGGCCGGCTTCAGCGGGTCCGACCTGCCCATGCAGAAGTTTCCAGACAGCGTTTTCATCAAGGAGCTGTCTTTTAAGTCGACGGACTCCAGGCACGCCAACCAGGTACCACATATGCAGGTAGCATATACCGAGGTGACAGGTGCGGGTGCTTGCTGGATGACATGCCTTCAGCGGGTCCGACCTGCCCATGCAGTTTCCTGCCCATAACACAGACTCTGGTAACACATACTCTGGTAACACAGGCTCTGGTAACACGGACTCTGGTAACACATACTCTGGTAACACAGGCTCTGGTAACACAGACTCTGGTAACCATACTCTGGTAACACAGGCTCTGGTAACACAGACTGTGGTAACACAGGTCTTGATCAAGGAGCTGCCTTTCAAGTCCACGGACCCTCCAGACGCTTGATTCAAGTGGGCATGGCTTGATTCAAGTGGGCATGGCTTGATTCAAGTGGGCATGGCTTGATTCAAGTGGGCATGGCTTGATTCAGGTGGGCATGGCTTGATTCAAGTGGGCATGGCTTGATTCAGGTGGGCATGGCTTGATTCAAGTGGGCATGGCTTGATTCAAGTGGGCATGGCTTGATTCAAGTGGGCATGGCTTGATTCAAGTGGGCATGGCTTGATTCAAGTGGGCATGGCACACCCTGGTGATTCTTTTACTCTTTGATTCCAAGCTTTGACACACCAGGGGTATGCCTTGATTCGTCGGTACCCCTGATGTCCATTTTGTGCTTCTCTTGAACCTCTCCTGCCCGTGTTTCTGCTTTGCTTATCACAAGCACTCCAGTTTTGAGGTGCCTAACAAAAAAAACTCGCTGTCAAAACGATTCATGTTTCTCTCTTGAACCTCTCCTGTCCGCTTTTCTGCTTTGCCTATCGCAACGCAAGCGCTTCCTTTTACCACAATTGCCATCACCAGACTCAAGATGGGTCAACTGATCAAGGCAGTGAGCCGGCAAATGGAACCAAACGCCAAACTGGACGCATATGGCGTTTGAGTCCTCTCAAGAGCTATCTGCCTTTCTCCTACCCCTGCCACAATCACCCCCTGGGTTTTCTCTCTCACGACAATCACCAGGTGGTGCAACTGATCAAGACCATGAGCAAGCACATGCCTCATGATACATTTATCCCCCCCCGCCCTCCTCCCCCTCGTTACAATCACCAGGTGGTGCAGCTGATCAAGACCATGAGCAAGCATGTGCGGCAGCGCGAGTCGGAGCGCGCCGAGAGAGCGACACTTGTCACGCAGGAGAAGCTCCAGCTCAGCAAGGGCCGCCCGCCGCGCCTCCCGGATCTTTGGATCCGGCCGTCGTTTGGTGGCAAGGGGAGGAAGCTCACAGGGTCGCTGGAGGCACATCTGAACGGTTTCCGATACTCCACTGCTAAGGTGGGTTGTCCAGGTGTATTTTTAGTCGACTCAAAATTTTACCGCTAAGGTAGGTGTGCTGGAGCCGACTTTTGAGTCGACTCAAAAGGCTGCTTGGAAGCACATCTGAACGGTTTCCGATACTCCACTGCTAAGGTGGGTTGTGTGGTGGCATGTGGTGGCATGTGGTGGCATGTGGTGGCATGTGGTGGCATGTGGTGGCATGTGGTGGTGTGCAGTGTGTTGTGTGTCTTTGGTTGCTGCCTCTGTCTGCCTTTAAGGCGCCTTAAAGAAAGGGCAACCCTCCCCCTCCTTCCTAGCCCCCCTTCCTTCCTCGCCCTCCGAATTCGTCATCGTCGGATGAAAGCATCCTCCCCCTCCTTCCCCCCTCCCCCTCCTTCCCCCCTCCCCTTCCTTCCCCCCTCCCCTTCCTTCCCCCCTCCCCTTCCTTCCTCATTACCAGCCCGACGAGAGAGTGGAGGTGATGTACGGTAACATCAAGCACGCCTCTTTTCAGCCAGCCGAGAACGAGATGATCACGCTGCTGCACTTCCACCTCTTCCCTTCCCCCCCTCCCCCCCAACCCCGCCCTCCCCCCTCCCCAAACCCTTCCCCTCCCCGCCTTACCAGCCGGACGAGAGAGTGGAGGTGATGTTGTACGGTAACATCAAGCACGCGTTCCTTCAGCCGGCCAAGAACGAGATGATCACGCTGCTGCACAGAGGGCAAAGAGCAACAACCCGCCACCTCTCACCACGCCTTGTCCTCCCCCGCGGCGACTTGAGAACTCCTCATCCTTCTGCTCCCCCTGTTGCTTTCCTCCCCTCCCCCTCTTCCTCCCCTTTCCCCCACAAGCACAGCCAGATGAAAGGGTGGAGGTGATGTTTGGCAACATCAAGCACGCCCTCTTTCAGCCATCCGAGAACGAGATGATCACGCTGCTGCACTTCCACGTCTTCCCTTCCCCCCCAACCCCCCCCCCTCCCCCCTCCCCAAACCCTTCCCCTCCCCGCCTTACCAGCCGAACGAGAGGGTGGAGGTGATGTACGGCAACATCAAGCACGCGTTCCTTCAGCCGGCCGAGAACGTGATGATCACGCTGCTGCACTCTTCCACCTGCACAACCCCATAATGGTCGGCAAGAAGAAGAAGAAGAAGGAATACGCCGCCTCTCACCTTGCCTCCTCTTTCCTGTGTTGACATTCAACCCCCTTACCCTTCTTGCTCCCTCCTTCCCTCTCCCTTCCCTCCCCCAACCCCCCTCCTCCCCCACCTTTCCCCTCCTTACCAGCCGGACGAGAGGGTGGAGGTGATGTACGGTAACATCAAGCACGCGTTTTTCCAGCCAGCCGAGAACGAGATGATCACGCTGCTGCACTTCCACCTGCACAACCCCATAATGGTCGGCAAGAAAAAAACCAAAGACGTCCAATTCTTTGCCGAAGTCATGGAGGTGGTCCAGACCGTGGGCGGCTCACGGCGATCCGCCTACGACCCGGACGAGATCGAGGAGGAACAGCGGGAGCGCGAGCGGCGCAGCAAGATCAACCGCGAGTTCAAGTCGTTTGTCAGCGCCGTGCACTCGCTCTGGGAGAAAGATCGGGAGCTCGCGCGGCTAGATCTGGAGTTCGACGTGCCGTTTCGGGAATTAGGGTTCCATGGGGTCCCGCACAAGTCGTCCGCGTTCATTGTTCCAACGGTCAACTGCTTGGTGGAACTGATCGAGGTTCCTTTCCTTGTGGTGACGCTGAATGAGGTGGAGATTGTGAACCTCGAGAGGGTGGGGCTCGGGCAGAAGACCTTTGACATGGCGATCGTTTTCAAGGATTTTAAGCGGGATGTGCTGCGGATTGATGCCATTCCGAGCACGTCGCTGGACTCGGTGAAAGAATGGCTGAACTCGATGAACATCAAGTATTATGAGTCGCGGCTGAATCTTAGCTGGAAGGCGATTCTGCAGAATATTATGAGCGATCCCGAGGCGTTTCTTGCGGACGGCGGGTGGGAGTTTTTGAACCTGGAGGCGTCGGATAGCGAGGGGGATGAGTCGGAGGAGTCGCAGGCGTACGAGCCGTCGGATCTGGAGGAGGCTGCATCCGACGATGACGATGATGAGAGTGAGGACGATGAGAGTGTGGTGGACAGTGAGGAGGAGGGGGGGGAGGAGGAGAGTGAGGAGGAGGAGGAGGGGCCGACTTGGGATGAGCTGGAGGCGAAGGCCCTGAGGGAGGATCGGGAGAAGGGAGAGGAGAGCGATAGTGAGGGAGAGAGGAGGAGGAGGAGGAAGGGAGGAGGGGGAGGGGGAGGAGGAGGTGGGGGAGGGGGAGGGGGAGGGAGGCCTGGGGATGCGAGAGGAGGGGGGGAGGAGGGGGAGGGGGAGGAAGCGGGGGGAAGGGGGGATGGAGTGGGCGGCCGGAGGGGAGGCCGTCTATGGGGAAGGGACCCATGGGGAAGTCCGGCGGGGGAGGGGGGAGGCCGATGGGGGGAGGCAGTGGGGGAAGGCCGGGAGGGGGAGGGGGAGGAAGTGGGAGTGGGGGGAGGCCGATGGGGAAAGGGGGGAGTGGAAGGGGGCCCCCTCCGCCCATGGGGAAGCGGCCCATGGGGTCGGGGTCTGGAGGGCCCATGAAGCGACCTAAGTACTGACACTTAGGTAAGTAATAATGTGGAATGATTATTGGGGCAGTTTTGGGCAATGCTTGTTGGGGGCTTGTTGTAGAAATTGGTTCAGGTTCTGGAAAAAGTGGAGAACTTGTACGTTTTTTTTTTTTTTTTTTTTTTTTTTTTTAATCAGGGCGTTATTCCTACAAGGTTGGATCCAGCGAAGTTGGATCCATCGCGTGCAGTACAGTGCAGTGCAAGTGTAAAAAATGCGCATATTGTTGTGGTTCGGTTCGGTAATGCATACGTTTGGATCCAACTTCGCTGGATCCAGCTTCGTAAGAATACGCCCTCAATCCCCTTACTGAATGAACATTCTCTAATTCAAGTAGAAGCTCGTTTGATTATCTGTCTGATATCCAAGCCCAACCATTCAAATTTCCTCTTGTTCCCTCTTGTTTCCATTCCCCGTGCTCTCATTCCCCGTGCTCTCATTCCCCGTGCTTTCATTCCCCGTGCTGTCAGCTTGTCTCCCAGGCCACTTTTTACTGCTTCTCAGCACTTATCGCCAATAATCAGCACGCTCCAGTTTGAGCCCTCCTGTCCTCTGAATCCCCTCCAATCTCTCTTCACCGCTCTGCACCTCTTCAATCTCTACAGAAGACACTCCTGAGGAGGAAGCTGTTCACCTTGCCTCTTTCGCAGGAATGCCCACAGAATCAGCAGCAGCAGCAGCAGCAGCAGCAGCAGCAGCAGCAGCAGCGACAACAGCAACAGCAGCAGCAGCAGCAGCAGCAGCGACAACAGCAGCAGCAGCAGCAGCAGCAGCAGCAGCAGCAGCAGCAGCGACAACAGCAACAGCAGCAGCAGCAGCAGCAGCAGCGACAACAGCAGCAGCAGCAGCAGCAGCAGCGACAACAGCAACAGCAGCAGCAGCAGCAGCAGCAGTAGGAGGAGACAGCAGCAGGAACTTAGCAGAAGTGGCATTGATGGGGGCAGGAGCAGCCAAAGGGCTACAGGGGATAGGATATCGAGAGATATTTCTTGCCTTTGAGGCCACGTGTGTTTCCTTCTCATTGCGCTGTTGCCATTTGCTCTCTTGGTCGAATAAAGAAACCCATTGAAATCAAAAAACATTTTTTCTCCTTTTCTCCTTTCCATGCTGTCTTTCCCCCTCCATCCCTTGGACCCCCCGCCCCCCTCCCCCCCCCCCCCCTCCCCTCCCTCCCTCCCTCTCCCTTCTCCCCGTCACTTCCTTCCTCTCCCCGTTCCCCCCCCCTCTCAATGGTCGACCTTTTACCTTTCAAGCATTCCTGGGATAACTCTCCCTACGCCACTGAAACTGACTTGTGAGGTGGCTTTAGCATGCACATTCTCCCCTGCCAAAGCGCCACCAAGATCGGCTCCCTGCAGCAACTTTTACCGCCTCCTAGTGATGAGGCCTGTCATCCTGCCCTCCTCCTGCTCAGATCATCTCTCACTCCCCCTGCCACTCTGCCTCTCAGCACCTTGCCAGTGAACCGAAGTGCCGTGGAAGATGCTGCCCGGAAGAACCAATACATGCCTGCCCGGTGTCCGATGCTGTCCGTACAAACTGTGTGTACAGTACGTAATTCCCTAGGGGACTGGACATTTTTTGCCAGACCCCCCAGATATTTCACTATTGCCGTTTGTCTCTAATGGGCCGCCGTGCTGCCTGATCTCTTGGGCAACCGTTTTTCGAATGCCCATGCGACAAATCACTGCCTGTTGTGGTTACCGTGTGTGGCTAGAAACACCAGGCCCCCGTAGAGGAGGTGATTTTGAACGAGAGTCGAAGAGTCTTCGCGGGGGAATTCGCGAGCATCGTTACTGCTAGGGCTGAAAGGACGAGAATCTTGGATTCGGTCTGACGAAAGGCGGATAATGTCGCTTTGCTCGTCGCTAGTGTCGTCGTCAGCGCGGACGCAACACCGAGCCTCCAGCCCAGCCCGAAGTCGGGGCTGGAAAATGAGTGGAATGTGCTCGACAGGCCAGCGGATTTTACTGACGCAACGCCGCCAGACCTCTCCCAAACCAGCCTCACCACTATGATTTCCAGGTTCGCCCCAAAACCTCCTCCCCAAAATCCTCTGACCACAAGCAGCTGATAAAAAAACTGCCGTCTCCGTTCTTTCTTGTTGCTCCTGGCTGCTCCATGCGACCACTTGCCACAAGGAGCGTGGAGAAGAATCGCGTAAGGCAATTACCCATATTTAATTATTTTTCAGAGTCTCTCTGAGGTCCAATCCGGATTTTTAACGAGTGACTTACACAGGGGTTCTGGAAAATATACGAGTGTGCTTGGGCCGGGTTCCGGAAGAATCAGAATGCCCCTGTGGCCCAATCCGGGGAAATTTCTTCCCATCCCCCCCGCCCCCCTCCCACCACACCCCGCTCCCCCCCTTGCACTGTCAACCAAGGCAATCTCTCAAACAGGATGAGCTGCCCCCCTCTTCCCTCACTTGTTAGTTACCACTCCAGTATTTGGCTAAACGGGATGAGCTGTCTTAGCATGTCATAGGTGCAGATTCACACAGCACAGGGGAGAAACTCTGTCAGAGTAACTCGGAGCCTTGATTCCGGATTAAACAGAATTCACCAGCCCCCCAACTCAGACGAAAAAAGAGTGGGAATGGGGGGAGAACCCGAGAGAAACAGACCCTCCCAAATCCTTAGCGTAGGCCCTGAGTCCCTGACATGAACCAGGCTAAGGAGCTCGTCATGGTTTAGATTAGACGCTGAGGAGCTCGTCGCAGTTTTCCATTCCTCCTGCGTGCTTCCTACCTACGATCGTTTTGTCACGAAGGCCAGGAGTTATTGGGATCGCACGGGTTTTTGTCGCCCTACCCTCGACCCGTCTGATCCGTCCAAGCGCCGTGCAGCCATCGCCCGGCAGTTTCCGTTCGCTCAGCGATTCCAGATTCCAGAAGCCTCGTCCTCTCTTCGATTGCATGCAAGCGTCCCCAGAGTTGTCTCTTCGGGCCGAGATAGCCCTAGAGGTCGAGTAATCCTTAGAGGTCGACTCGAGTCATCCCTCAAGTTTTTCCCCCCGGGGTTATCTCTTGAAGTTATCCGTTTCTAGAGTCGCCTCTGTCGTCGTGTCACGGTGGGAATAAATTCAAATTTTGCCGGAGGTTGGGTCAGATGCACCAGGTGCGATCGCAGCAGCCGCCGCCGCATTCCACGGCAATGGCGTCGAAGGCGCTGATGATGGACAACGACGTGCTCAGCGGCGCGCAGGTGCGTCTTGCGACGTCGCAAACCCTCCTAGGCAGTAGTACCTTGATCGTTGCTAAAACAACGTCATATATCATCTAACGGCCTGGCGTCGTGAGAAGAATCTCTCTCGCGAGAACCCTAAACCCTTTCTCGCGTGTCTGGTCTTCGACGGCGCAACTGAAACTGCCCCTTACCGCACACCCGCTTACTCTCCCCTCCCCCGTACTATCGCCTTCCCCCGCGTGGTTTTTTAGGATAAATGCATTCTCCTTTTTCGCCGCGACATCCCTCCCGCCATCTCCCCTTTCCCCCAACAAAACCCTACTCCGCACCCCCGCCTCCCTTCAACCCGCCTATTTTTCCCACAGGGCCCCGGCCTGCGGTTGCGCCTGCTGCAGTCCCTGCTGACTTACTTCCTCCCAACCACTACCAAAGATCCCGCCGACATGGCGCGGGGTCGGGGAGCCGTGGGGGTGCTGCGACCCCTCTCCTCTCAACCTAAATTCTGTTTCACACCACCCCTTCCCCCCCTTCCGCTTCCCCACGGGACCCCCGTCTGCGCCTGTGTCTACTCCAGTCCCTTCTAACCTCCTTCCTCCGAGCGACGCCCAAGGGCCCTAATGACATGGGGCGGGTGCGGGGAGCCATGGGTTTGCTGCGCCCCCATTGTTCTTCATCCTCCATCCCCCATCCCCCATCCCCCATCCCCCATCCCCCATCCCCCCGCTCCCCTTTCACTCCACAGGACCCCCGCCTACGCTTACGCCTGCTGCAATCGCTCCTGACCTCCTTCCTCCCAGTCACTCCCAAGGATCCCATCGACATGGGGCGGGTGAGAGGAGCCGTGGGGATGCTGCGGGAGCAGCACGTGTTGGCGGTGGAGCCTGATTGGTCGGCGGTGGGGAGCGGTAATGACCCCAGGCGGAAGGCTGTGGATGCGTGGTGCAGCAGAGTGTTCGCGTTATTAGCTTCCCCGCTGGTAAGTTTCGATTGCTGATTGATACTGCTGGCTTTAGTGCCAAAAGCGGCATCGTCTGACATTGTGTTATGACATCAAGTCAACTTTGGAAGCTTATTAAGAACCTCCATTTTTTTGCATCCCGTTCCCACCAATTTCTTGCTAGCTGTCTCCTCTCTCGACCTCTCTTTTTCATCTCCTCCTCGCCCCCCAGCCGGCCAATCGGTGGGCGGCGTGCGTGCTGGCAGGTGCCACGTGTGCAGAGAGCACGCCTCAGCGCGTGGTTGACACGTACGCCAAGTGGTGGGGGCGGCTAGCCGCCCTGCTGAAGGTGAACAAGACAAAAGGGGGCGGTGGGGGGGCCGGGAAGGGAGAGCAGCAGCAGCAGCAGCAGGAGGAGGGGAAGGAGGAGGGGGAGGAGGAAGAGGAGGAGGAGGGGGAAGAGGAGGGAAAGGAGGGGAAGGAGGGGAGAGGGGACGGGAGAGGGAAGGGGAAGGGGAAGGAGAGGGCGAGTGGGAAGGGCAAGGAGCAGAGTGCACAGCAGGACACGATGTTTGTGCGTGTGGCGGCTGCTGCTGCCCTTGCTGACCTATTCTCAAGGTATGCTTCCTCTTGTTAGTATACCTACGTGTACACGTGCACGCACGCACACATGCACGCACATACTCATGCACAAAGGAATGCAAGCGCATGTGTTATTGTGTCCGCACACATGCAAGTGCTCCCACCATCCACCCTCTCCCCTCCCCTGCCAGGCTGGCAACTTTGTCTCATGTGCAGAGCGTGCGCAAGGAGGCTGGCACTTTGGCCGGCAAGCTTTGGCCGTTTCTGGCGGAAATGATGGGCGGCAGTGAGAGCTCACAGGCATGGGTGGGTGGCACAGACAACTCGTAGATAAGAGAACTGGTTTTTTTCCATCTCTCATCTACCCTGGTCCTGTCTAATCCTGTTTTGTTTGAGGTGTGCCTAGAAGTCATCCCGTCACCTCTTTGGTGCATGCCCATACCCCATACCCCATACCCCATACCCCATACCCCATACCCCCGTTGCTCGTCTCTCACACACACTTGCCCCTTCTTCCTCGGGTGCCCCTTCTTCCTCGGGTGCCCTTCTTCCTCGGGTGCCCTTCTTCCTCGGGTGCCCTTCTTCCTCGGGTGCCCCTCCCAGAGCGTGTGCCTCTCGCTTCTCTCGCTGCTGCTTCGCTCCTTCCCGTCAAGCTTCAAGCACCATGTGCCAGCGGTATGCACCTGCCCCTACCAACCACCTTGCATCATCACTGTTGCTCGTATCATCACCAGTGGTGCCTTCCGTATGTGCGCTGTGTATGTGAATGACATTCGTCTCTCATTCGTCTCTCATTCGTCTCTCATTCGTCTCTCATTCTTCACTCATTCTTCTCTCATTCTTCTCTCATTCTTCTCTCATTCTTCTCTCATTCTTCTCTCATTCTTCTCTCGCCATGGCCCTTCCAAATCCACTCCCCCCCGGGCCCCCCCCGCCCTTCCGCCCCACTTTCTCCCCTGCATGAGGAATCTATTTTTGAGGCGCCTCAAAAATAGATTCCGCCCCCTCGTTCTCCCCTCCCTCCCCTCGACTCAGCTTTGCCCCCCTCACTCCCCTCCTCCGCGTGACTCAGATCGAGTCGCTTCTTCTGGCAAAGCTGGCTTCGCCCAGCGCACCATCTTCAATTGTTCACGTGAGTCTGGGTGGTCTGAATTGGGGGTGGGGGGGGGTTGGGGGGGAAGGAGGGGGGGGGTGTTTGGGGGTCTGTGCGCCCATCCTCCTCGGCTCTACTCTGCGTGTGGCAAAGCTGGCTTCGCCCAGCGCACCATCTTCAATTGATCACGTGAGTCTGGGTGGTCTGTGGGGGGGGGGGGGGGGGGGTGGGGGCCGGGGTAGGGGAGGGGATGAAAGGGTTTTTGGGAGGGCGGGAGGGTAGGGTCTCAGCCCATGATTGTTGTCGCTCCTGCTTCTCACGCCATCCCCATCCCCATCCCCATCCCCATCCCCATCCCCATCCCCATCCCCAAACCCCATCCCCATCCCCATCCCCATCCCCATCCCCATCCCCATCCCCATCCCCATCCCCATCCGCATCCGCATCCCCATCCCCATCCCCATCCCCATCCCCATCCCCATCCCCATCCCCATCCCCATCCCCATCCCCATCCCCATCCCCATCCCCATCCCCATCCCCATCCCATCCCCATCCCATCCCCATCCCCATCCCATCCCCATCCCCATCCCATCCCCATCCCCATCCCCATCCCCATCCCCATCCCCATCCCCATCCCCATCCCCATCCGCATCCCCATCCCCATCCCCATCCCCATCCCCATCCCCATCCCCATCCCCATCCCCATCCCCATCCCATCCCCATCCCCATCCCCATCCCCATCCCCATCCCCATCCCATCCCATCCCCATCCCCATCCCCATCCCCATCCCCATCCCCATCCCCATCCCCATCCCCATCCCCATCCCCATCCCCATCCCCATCCCCATCCCCATCCCCATCCCCATCCCCATCCCCATCCCCATCCCCATCCCCATCCCCATCCCCATCCCCATCCCCATCCCCATCCCCATCCCCCATCCCCATCCCCATCCCCATCCCCATCCCCATCCCCCATCCCCATCCCCCATCCCCATCCCCATCCCCATCCCCATCCCCATCTCCATCTGTCCATCGCATCCCGTATCTCTTGTTAAACCCACCTCTCTCCCCCCCCACACCACTCAGTCCTGCTGCAATCTCTTCATGCTGCTCCCTCACGACTTGCCACTTTTGTATCAAACCCACTCCCTTCCATCATCCCATGTTTAGCGCCACGCCAATTCCACTCCCCCCCCCCACGCCTTTCAGTTGTGCTTCAATCCCTTCGTGCTGCGTGTTGAGTCAACTCAAAACACTTCCACTTCCCCACCACCACTCCCTCGCCCTGCTCAGTCATGCTGCAATCTCCTCGTGCTGCTCCCTCGCGCCTCCGGCGACCCGTCTCTCTGGTCGGCCTTCATGCGCCGCCTGCTGCTGTCCGTCCACGCGGACCTCGACACCCTCCTCTCAGGCTTTGAGGATGGTACGTGGAGGCAGGCTAGTACTGGTGGTGCTGTGGTGCGTGTATTGGTAGCCGTATGCACGGTGGTATCGTGGGTCAAGGGAGGGCCTCCGACTGTCCGTCTCTCTGGTCGGCGTTCATATGCCACTTGCTGCTCTCCGTCCACGCAGACCTCGACACCCTTCTTGCGGGCTTCGAGGATGGGAAGGGCACTGCTCGCTGTGAGTGAAAGTATGTGGGTACGAGTGTAGGCCTTTTAGCGACCCGTCTGTCTCTCTGGTCGGCCTTTATGCGCCGCCTGCTGCTCTCTGTCCATGCGGACCTCGACACCCTTCTCGGGGGCTTTGAGGATGGTAAGCGCGCTGTTTTTTAGGCGCCTCAAGAATAGAAACTTCGCCTGCTGCTGTCCAACCATGCGGTTCTCAGTACCCTTCTTGTGGGCTTTCAGGATGGTAGGCGCGCTGCCAGTGGTACTGTTTGAGTGCTGGTAAAGGTGTGTGAGTGCTGGTAAAGGTGTGTGAGTGCTGACAGGCCTGGCAAGGGCCTTTCGGCAAAGGCTTTGCGGCAAAGCCCTATCGGCTCTCCTTCGCTGCAAACACTGCATCCCTCCCTCCCCACTCCGCTCATCCCCGCACTCCGCCAGTGGATTGCCACACAGCTGATTTTTCCGCAGCCCCCCTCCCTCCGTATTCCCCCTGTCCCCTGACACGCCTCTGGTTGGTCCCTCCCAAGCACCACCACTGGATCGCCACAACAACATCTCCCCTCCCCACTTTGCCCCCCATGCTCTTTGCCCCCCCATGCTCTTTGCCCCCCCATGCTCTTTGCCCCCCCATGCTCTTTGCCCCCCCATGCTCTTTGCCCCCCCATGCTCTTTGCCCCCCCATGCTCTTTGCCCCCCATGCTCTTTGCCCCCCCATGCTCTTTGCCCCCCCATGCTCTTTGCCCCCCCATGCTCTTTGCCCCCCCATGCTCTTTGCCCCCCCATGCTCTTTGCCCCCCCATGCTCTTTGCCCCCCCATGCTCTTTGCCCCCCCATGCTCTTTGCCCCCCCATGCTCTTTGCCCCCCCATGCTCTTTGCCCCCCATGCTCTTTGCCCCCCCATGCTCTTTGCCCCCCATGCTCTTTGCCCCCCATGCTCTTTGCCCCCCCATGCTCTTTGCCCCCCCATGCTCTTTGCCCCCCCATGCTCTTTGTTCCTACGGGGGGGCAGCATCCGTACGGTCCAAGGCCCTGGCAACCCTCCTGCACTCCAACAGCGCATCTCTCCCCACGCCTCTGGTCCCCGAGCACCGCCACTGGATTGCCGTCCACTGCACCAAGGAGGCTGAGGGGCAGCAGCAGCAGGACACAGGGGGGCAGGGGCACAGTGTAAGGCAGTCGGCAAATCCAAACGCCGCCAGCAGCAGCAACAGCGGCGATGGCGGCAGCAGCAGCAGCAGCGGGGATCCCGAGGCAGTGTTTCGCCGGGTCGTGCCGCGGCTGCACGCGCTGCTGCTGACGTGCCAGCTGGCAATCACCCAGGGGTTCTCCGCTCCGGTAGGTGGGGAGCGGTTGTGAAGGGGGAGTTGCAGGGGGGTGGGCGGATGGGGGTGCGGGGGGGTGGGCGGATGGGGGTGCGGTGGGGTGGGCGGATGGGGGTGCGGGGGGTGGGCGGATGGGGTGCGGGGGGGTGGGCGGATGGGTTTGCGGTGGGGTGGGCGGATGGGGTTGCGGTGGGGTGGGCGGATGGGGTTGCGGTGGGGTGGGCGGATGGGGTTGCGGTGGGGTGGGCGGATGGGGTTGCGGGGGGGTGAGCGGATGGGGGTGCGGGGGGGTGGGCGGATGGGGGTGCGGTGGGGTGGGCGGATGGGGTGCGGTGGGGTGGGCGGATGGGGTTGCGGTGGGTGGGCGGATGGGGTGCGGTGGGTGGGCGGATGGGGTTGTGGTGGGGTGGGCGGATGGGGTTGCGGTGGGGTGGGCGGATGGGGTTGCGGGGGGGTGAGCGGATGGGGTTGCGGTGGGGTGGGCGGATGGGGGTGCGGGGGGTGGGCGGATGGGGTTGCGGGGGGGAAATGCTGCGCCTCATGCATTGCTGCTGACGTGCCAGCTGGCGATCACCCAGGGGTTCTCGGCTTCGTTACGTGAGGAGTATGAGAAGGGAGGGGGGAGGGGGGAAGGGGGAAGGGGGTGGGGAGGGAGGGATGGGAGAGTTGGCAGAAAGTGATGCTTGCAGCTGCACGCGCTGCTACTGACGTGCCAGCTGGCGATCACCCAGGGGTCCTCCGCGCCGGCAAGTGGGGATCGGGCTAGTCATCCCCCTCCCTTCTGTAGGTGATTTTTTAGTCGACTAAAAAATCATTTTCAGTCGACTAAAAAATCACCGGCAAGTGGGGATCGGGCTAGTCATCCCCCTCCCTTGTGCCTCACCGCTCCTTTCTCCTCGCTTCGTTACCAAAACACTTCTCCACGCCCCAACCCCCCTTTCCCCCGCCCTCTCCCTCCCAGGTGCCAGCCCCCCTCTCGGCGCTGCTGTCTCTCGCCCACCGTCTCCTCTCAGCCGACGCCACCATCCGCCTCACTCAAGTAGAGGGCACAGGGCTCGTCATCCCCCTCTCCCTCCTCGCCTCTGGTACTGGAGGGAGGGGGGGAGGAGTGGGAGGGGGAGGAAGGGATGGACGGGGAGGAGCGAGGAGTGATGGGCTGGATGGCATGGGCTCGGCGTTTTCTGCTGGGCGCCAGCTGGCTCTGTGTGTGGAGCTGCCGGCGCTGCAGTGTGCGGGGCTGCGGATTATGCTGGCGGTGCTGCAGGGAGTGAGGAAGTGAGTGTGGAGGGAGTGCGAATGTGGGGGCGGAGGGAGTGAGAAAGTGAGCGTGGGGGGGTATGAGGAAGTGAGTGGACAGAATGAGAAACAGTCTTGATTCAGTCTTGATTCATCATCTGTCTCTCTCATTCCACTCTGTCCGCCTATCATCCACGTAATATAAGGTCTCAAAACCACTTTGAGACGTCTCAAAACCAACCTTGTATCCCTCTGTCCTCCCATCACCCTCTCACTTCTCCTACTCCCTCCTCCCCTCGCATCCCTCCCTCCCCCCGCGTCCCTTCCTTCCTCTCTCCCCCCTGACCCCCTTCTTTCCTCTCTCTCCCCCCTGACCCCCTTCTTCCCTCTCTCTCCCCCCTGACCCCTTCTTCCCTCTCTCTCCCCCCTGACCCCCTTCTTCCCTCTCTCTCCCCCCCTGACCCCCTTCTTCCCCCTCGCATCCCTCCCTCCCCGCGCACACCAGCCACATCCTGCCCCATGCTGCGTGGCTGGTGTGCGCGGGGGTTGACTCAAAACCAATGCGTGCTGACTTTTGAGTTGACTCAAAACCAATGCGTGCTGACTTTTGAGTTGACTCAAAACCAATGCGTGCTGACTTTTGAGTTGACTCAAAACCAATGCGTGCTGACTTTTGAGTTGACTCAAAACCAATGCGTCCCTTCCTTCCGCTCTCCCCCCTGACCTGAACCCCCCTCCTCTTCCTCTTCGCGCACCAGCCACATCCTGCCGCATGCAGCAACCATCTCTCACACCCTCGTGTCGGCCTTTCGCCAGCCAAAACCAATGTGCCCCTTCCTTCCTCTCTCCCCCTTGACCTGAACCCCCCTCCCCTCCCCTCCCCTCCCCTCCCCTCGCACCAGCCACATCCTGCCCCATGCGGCGACCATCTCTCACACCCTCGTGTCGGCCTTTCGCCGTTCGGCAGCAGCGGGGGACGACGCCACCACGCTGCCTTTCAAGGCGCTGCTGTACCGCACGGCCACGCAGTACCTCTACGCTCTGGGGGCTGGTGAGTTGCATTCCCCAGCATCCCCCAGATGTTACCACTACTATAGTCCTCTTCGCTGCACTGCCCCTTCCAGGAACTGCTGCACCACACGGCCACGCAGTACCTCAATGCTTTGGGGGCTGGTGCGTTGAGTTGATTGCCATAGAAAGAACCTCCCCTGCTTCACTCAGTGCTGCCCGTCAAGGCGCTGCTCTACCGCACGGCCATGCAGTACCGCTGGGCCTTTTGAGGCTCGTCAGAAGCAGTACCTGTAGGGTGTTTTTGAGAATTCTCAAAAACACCCTGAAGCAGCACCTGTACGAGCTTGCCTTCATGCTTCGAAGAGAGTCCCTACTGCGGACCGTGGTCACCTCCACCCTGTAAAGCCCAGCTAGACTGCACCGCACCGCACCGCACGGCACCACAACTCAGTCTCTTTGTGTCCTACGCGCTGCATGACGGAGGAGACCGGCCCCATATTTTTGGATCGCCCCCATATTTGTGGTTTGTGGAGCTCGCCCCCATATTTGTGGGTCTCGGCATAACACTCAACCCCTTCGCCTCCTTTCTTCCCCATCCCTCCCTCCCCCCCCCCCTCCCCCACCCAATTTCTCCCTCCCAGGCATGATGATGCAGATTGTCCCCATAGTGGTGGGTTGCGGCATCACTGACCTAAAGCAGGCACTCCCCCCTAATCCCTCCACACGCACACAACACCCCCACCCCACCCCACCCCACCCCCTGTGCCCTCCTTCCCCCCCCCTTATAGGCATGATGACCCAGATTGCCCCCATAGTGGTGGGCCGCGGCATCACCGATCTCAAGCAGGCTGTCCCAGCGCTCTTCTCCCCGACCAACCAGCGTTCGCCAGGTGGCAGCATGGCGTTCGACGCTGCTCCCAACGCTGTGGGCGGCAGCGGGAGGGTGGGCGGAGGGGGAGGGGGAGGGGCAGGGGGAGGTGCATCGGGGGCAGGTGTTATTTCGGGCAGCCAGTGCCTGCAGTCTGCTGATCTGCAGATTGCGATTCTTGAAGCGCTAGAGGCGCTGCTGGTGGCGGTGAGTGTGTGTGGAGGGGGTAGGGATAGGGGGAGGGGGGGGGAGTGGGGGTGAGTGTGTGTGGAGTGGGGGAATGGGGTGCGATGGGAGGGGGTGTGGGGGTTGCGGTTGTGGGGGGTGGGTGGGGGGGGGGAGGAAGGGAGGGGTGGGCATCTGCAGCAGTTATCATCTTGGGCGATCTGTGGATCTGCAGATTGCGATACTTGAAGCGCTGAAGGCGCTGCTGGTGGCGGTGAGTGTGCAGGGGGGAGTGTGAGAATGGAACAGTGTGTGAGAAAGGGACAGTGTGTGAGAATGGGACAAAGTGTGAGAATGGGACAAAGTGTGAGAATGGGACAGTGTGAGAATGGGACAGAGTGTGGGCAGGGAGTAAAGACGGGAGGGGATGAGGAGGGGGGGGGGGGAGGGAGGCAGGGAGAACGGCCCATGGAGGTGGGCACATATCTTTGAGATCTCGTTCGTTTATCCCTGCCTGCTGTTCTTCTTACCATTCGCCCTTCTCGTTTCTCATGCATCCACCCCCCCATGCATCCACCCTTCCATGCATCCACCCTTCCATGCATCCACCCTTCCATGCATCCACCCTTCCATGCATCCACCCTTCCTTGCATCCACCCTTCCTTGCATCCACCCTTCCTTGCATCCACCCTTCCATGCATCCACCCTTCCTTGCATCCACCCTTCCATGCATCCACTCTTCTTTGCATCCACCCTTCCATGCATCCACCCTTCCATGCATCCACCCTTCCATGCATCCACCCTTCCTTGCATCTACCCTTCCTTGCATCCACCCTTCCATGCATCCACCCTTCCATGCATCCACCCTTCCTTGCATCCACCCTTCCATGCATCCACCCTTCCTTGCATCCACCCTTCCTTGCATCCACCCTTCCATGCATCCCTTCCCTTTTCCCCTTCCTCCATCCTACCACAACAGGGCGGCCCCCTTCTACCTGAGCACTGGCGCATGGAGGTGGATGCAGCACTCACCTGCACCGCAGCCATCGCCCTCGGCACCGGCGGTTACGACTCCGGTTTCAACTCTGGTTACAACTCAGGTTACAACTCCACCAGCCATGCTCAGATGCCCTGGACCCCTGCCTCCGACCGTGCAATCAGATCGCTCCAGCTGGCAGCGTGCCATGCCCTCCTTGCCTCCCTACTAGCCCCGTGCAAGTACCGCCCCCCCTACCTCGGCCAAGCACTTAGAATCTTCCGGCAGGGGCGGCAGCAGATGGCTACTGAAGTGGCTGCTTTCTGCTCCTTTGCTCTTCTGGCTCTAGAGCCAGTGCTCCACCCTAGGTGCCTCCCCCACTCAACCTCTATCCACCCGCTCTCGTCACTCCTTGTTCCGTCGCAACCCCCGCCTAACGTGCAACTGCAGCAGATGCAGCAGCAGCAGCTGGAGCAGCAGCAGCAGCTACTGGAGCAGCAGTTACAACAGGAGCATTTACAGCAGCAGCAGCAGCAGCAGCAGCAGTCTTTGAGTTTGGGTGGCTCGCCAGCCCCTTCTGCCGCCCATCCCGCCGTCTCTGCCAGCCAGCCGTCCAGCTTGCCGGCCACTTCCGGCAGTATGCCGCCTCCGGCCACCCAGGCTAGCTCACTCGCCGTCTCACTCCATATCGGGGGATCGATGGCAATGGCCTTGTCTGCTGCTGTGGGAGGGGGTGCTGGAGGGGGGATGGATGGGGGGGTGGGAGGGGGGTGGGAGCAGGGGGGATGGGAGCAGGAGGAGGGCTAGGGGGAGGAGGAGGAGTGGGGGCGTTTGGTGGGATGGGCGGAACTGCAGGTGCAGGCACCGTTGGGGGAGGAGGGTTGCCAGGGGGAATGGGCGGGGGGATGGGTGGGGGAATAGGTGGGGGAATGGGCGGGGGAATGGGGGGGGGAATGGGTGGGGGAACGGAAGCAGGTGCGGGCGGTCTTGGAGCTATGGGCGGTGATGTTTGGCCTCTAGCAGACTTGTGGACGGAGGTGGATGGGTATGGTACGTTCGGGCATGACCTCATGGAGATCGGGGGAGGGACACCTGGGGCAGGTATTACTGGTGCAGGAATGCAAGTTGCAGGAGGTGCATCTGGTGCAGGTTTTACTGGCATGGCTACAAACGGTGCGGCTGCAGGGGCAGCATCTGGCGGGTTCGGGTCCATTGAGGAGAGGCCGTCAGGGGCACCTATGGATACTGATGGTTCGGCACTTCCTGCTGCCCTTACCTCTGCTGCTCCTGCTGCTGCTCCTGCCATGCCCATGCCCCCCCCTCCTGCTCCTGCTTCTGCTCCTGCTCCTGGAGCTCCTGCTGCTGCTGCTGCTGTTCCTGCACTAGGGACAGCAGGAGCAGCAGCAGCAGCAGCGCCTGCAGTGTCGTCGCTAAGTGATAAATCAAGTGGGGCACGAGGGAAAGGAGGCGCAAAAAAAGGGGCAGCAGCAGCAGCAGCAGCAGCAGCAGCAGCAGCAGCAGCAGGAGCTGGAGCAGGAGGAGCAGGAGCAGGATCAGCAGGAGGAGCAGAGAAGGGAGGGAAGCGCAGGGATGTGGGGAAGGAAATTTTCATCAAGACACTCACGCCGGCTGTAGCGCGCTTCCTCAGTGCCAATGACCCCTCCTCCCCCTCCGCTTCTGCTCGTGCTTCACCCTCTACTTCAGCAGCTCCTGCTGCTGTTGGCAGCAGCGGTTCGGCTGGAAAGAGCAGGAAAGGGGCACCTAGAAATGAGCAAGGCTCTGCTGCTACTGCTGCTGCTGATGCTGGTGCTGGTGCTGCTGTGAGTGGCGCTGGTGCTGCTGGTAGTGGCTCACCTGGTGGGTCAGGAGCAGGGAGGAAAGGCAAAGAGCAGGTTCGGGCCGGAGGAGGTTCGGCACTTGCAGGTTCGGCTTGGAGAAGCCTGGGACAAGGTGGTTCGGGGCAGGGAGGCGGGGAGCAGCAGGGAGGGATGCAGTCGCATGGTTACGGGTCAAGGAAGGTGGTAACCACCATAGAGGAGGCGGACGCAGCTGGGCTCGAGGCTGCGAGGAGAGCAAGGGAGTCCCGAACCAAAGCGGCTGCCATGGCTCGGATGCTGCAGGATTCTGGCTTCCTGGGGGGAACTGGACGCTCGGGAACTCCAGGCGTGGGTGGTGGAGGTCCGTGGGCTGCAGGTTTGGGCTCCGGTGGGGTTGCAGGGTCTGGACAAGATGCACGAGTGGGTTCTGCCGCCGCTGCTGCTGGCCCTTCGTCTGCTCCTGCTGGTGTTGCTGCTGGCCCTTTGTTCGCTCCTGCTGCTGGTGCTGCTGGTGCTTCTGGCGCTGCTGGTGGTAGCGCTGGTGGGAGGGGGAGGGTTGCGTCTGGTGGTGCTGCAACGTCAGTTGCTGCCTCAACTGGATTTGATTCTGACTCTGATGGCCCCTTGCCTGAAATTGTGGTAGGGGATGACCTTGAGTTCTAGTGCCAGTATTGATTGCTGTGGCGGCTCTCTGAAACTGCTGATCTAGCTACATTAAAATAACGGGCTTGCTGTTTTCATTTACAGGCTTCAAATGGTTTCAAGCAAGCCCCTTGCTTTACCTTACCTAGGTAGGGAGCCGTAGAGTTTTGGGCAGGGCCATGCAGGGCTCCTGTGTCCTGCTGATAAATCACGTGCTGGAGTCAGATCAGGTGAAACAAGTCTACAAAACGATACCCTATTGCCAAGGAGTTAATTCTGTTCAATATTTAAACTATCTCTGCTAGCACTCCCATAGGTAGCGTAGGAAGTTAAAATTTAAATTCTTGTCAGAATGGCAATACACGGGAAAGTCAACGGCGCATCTAAACAACCAATTAGGAGGCACATCACTTATGGCAGAGAGCCAGCACCCTCGAGGGGGCGATGGCAAAAAAATGCGCAGCATCCTATGCCCACAGCACAGGTGTCTGCGTGATACAAATAGTGAAGCCTGGAGCAGGCCCTGTACACATCAACAGCCACCAACAGGTGCCTGCTTGAGGCGAAAACGGAGTCGGAGTCGCACAGCGTAGCAGAAAATTCCACGCGCGAACGCGTTGACGTGGTAAAACTCTCGCGAAGCCGCGCGGACGACGCAAGAGCTGCTCTCTGTCTGCTTCTCATCATCCGCATCTCATCCAACCGAAAGTAGTCCCGCACATCATGCGGGTGCGGTGCGGTTGCTGTCTCTCTCAGCCATTGCATATGAAGTAAGCAGACGCCTTCATAATCGCCATGCTGTGTCATTGGGTAAAAACAACCTGATCGTAATCCCTCGGAAGCGTCTGCGAACGAGACAACGGGTTACACGGCACAGCCTTCAACGTCACCGCAGGAACGGCGCTGCTTCCGCTCACGGCCTTTCTCAAGGTATGCTCGGAAAACGGGGACCGGGTCGGACTCGAAGACGCGCTGCCGTTAACCGAGGAATCCAAAGGCGCGTACGAGCCAGAGAAGCGACGAGAGCTTGTGACTGACGATGGAGGGCTCAGATCTGAATCCGAAGATCGAATTGAACCGCTGGGGGTGAGTCGCCCCGACGGCGACCCGGACGGTCCGCGCTGTGTCTTTTCCATCATAAGACGGCCGTTTTGCCGGACGCAGCGGATGGAGACGGGGGAGATAGTCCGGATCTCCATTAGGGTTACGTGGCCGTTCTTCCTTACGGGATGGACTGTGACTCCGGACCGGATGCAGGGAAGCGAGCGGAAAGCTTGGCCGTGGTGGCTGCTGCTTTGTTGCTGGCGGCCGGACGTAAGTCGCGACAGGTGGAGTTTTGAGGTCGATGGTGGTTGTTGCTGCTGCAGCTGTTGGTGGTGGTGGTAGTCGGCGTATGGAGTGGGGGATTGCGACGGAGAAAGTGGCTCGGCGGACGCTGCTGCTGAGCAGCTATCGAGAAAGTCTGGGTACGACGCTTGGCGGAAACTCACGGGTTCGGCGGTGAACTCTTCGCACATGTACGAGCTGGTCAAGGCGACAGCCATAGTGGATGATTCTGAACTGGAGTTCGCGGTTGACTGAGCAAATGCTTTTTAGAGATGGAGTAAAAAACTGCTGGTTGTTGGAGCAGACAGGGAAGTTGAGCAGGCAGTGATTTTCCAGGGCCAGGGTTTGAGCTTGGGAGGATGAGGTTTGGAGGAACTGGAGAAACCAGCAGAGCAGAAGCAACAAGAACGATGGTGGCTTCAACGGTCGATGGGAGAAACGGCGATGAAATAGTGAAACGCGTCGCCCTTGGGATCGTCAGCTTGCGGATGTGAGGATGGCAGGTTGCTGCCACACAGAGAGGGAATCTAGGTGTGGTTGGTGCCAGGTGTAATCACACGGATGTGAAACAGTCAGCTTCATCACCGTCCGGCCACACAGAGTTGTGGATAGGAATTAATACGCCGGTGGCCAGGGCTCTGGCTAGCAGGGCAACTGCCCTAAATTTTGCGAAATTAAGAATTGTTTTCGACTTTATTCTGTTTTTAGCGTAGTAAACTCCTTTGGATTCCGTCGTCCTAATGGACTACTTCGCGTATGCTTCCTTCAATTAAGGTTACTTTTCGTTGATTCCGTACAAAGTACGCTTGTGGTAGGAGATCAGTTTGTAGTGGTCTATCAACCCTATACTTTTCCCACCTGCACCTATACTTTTCCTAACTACCTCCACTAAGCAAAGAGGGGTGTTAGTTAGCGGGAAGTGTTTCTACTCTTCCAAACCGCCCGAGACATAGTAGAGTCCCTGGGGATTCTAGGGCCTTTCCTTAGCCGTGGTGAAGGCCATTGACTTTGACGTATCCATAACCTAGCGGGCAATTTTTCGGCGATTCCGTCCAATAACGGGTAATTTCGGGGCCGATTCCGTGGCCTAACGGAATACCCTAGGCGTAGCAAGAGCTCTGCTGGTGGCTCGACAACAGTCTCAAGGGGGGGCATTGGTGGCTTGTTGTTCACGGCTAATAATGGGGCTATTATAGAAATACTTACCTTTAAAACGGGTATTACTAGCGTGAGCTTGAGCAGTAAGTAAGTTGATGTTTTCCTACTCCTGCCAGACTACTCACTGATTGATTGAAGGGGAGGTACTTGTTTCCGAACCGAACTTCATCGTATTTTACCACTTTGAATTCAATATGAAGCGGAGTAACTTACACCATACCGCTTGTAAGCTCTCTGAATGGTCGACCCTGAGGCCTGGTCGTAAAAAAATGTAACACGCCCTACGGAAACGTGACGGGAGGATCCACTAAGTACTCCAGCTATCTTTCGCAGTTCCTCATGGAACCCAATAAGAAAAACCAATAACTTGAAGTGAATCGCGAATACGACTGAGTAACCCAGGACATAAAATTTGGGATGTTAATAGCATTAACTGTTGTGCATGGCGTGGTTCAGTGGAGCTCCAACAATCTGGAAACTCCAAAAATCTAGAAACTCCAACCAGTCTCGAAGCTCCTTGTCCAGCGCGCGGCGTGACTACCCTATCCACAAGACATGTGGCTGTGATCAAGATGGTGGAGCGCATTTAACCGCGTCGCGACTCACGATATCTTTGGGGTTTTTAGGTTACCGATAACCCTTACTAGCGTTTTACTCTTTGGGATCACGTTTAGCCCCTATTACGGAAGGGTTTCTCGCCAATCAAACCCCCCAGGGACAGTTTTTTGTTCTTCGAGGTTAGTTCTCTCCACAGCGAACCACGTGTAACAATCTCCTTAATCTTGGGCAGAGGGCAGAAACAATAAAACCCTTATGGGCCTGGCATGGCATTCTGAATGGCATCAACCCTAAACTCGCAAAAGGGCCACGAATTTAGGGTTGATGCCAACCAGAATGGCATACTCGCCCCTATGGGTTTTAGTTTTTTTCTTGCCAGCTAGCCTGCCCGAATGTTGTCAGCCATTTTCAGTAGCGCTACAGATCCCACAATATCGCAGGAAAAGAGAGTTCAGTAGCCCCAAAGTGACGGAGCAAGGAGATCGTGACGCGAGGTTTTCTGTGGTGCGAACTAACCTCGAAGAACAAAAAACTGGCCCGGGAGGGTTGGAACAATGAAAAACCCTTCCGTGAAAGGGCTAAATGTTACTCAAAAGAGTAAAACTCCAGTAAGGGTTACCGCTAACCTAAAAACCCATATCTTTGGCGACGTTTCCCACCTGCCAGCGACAAGCTGCCCTGAAATGCGTCACCGCTGAGCGACGTGAGCCAGTTCCACGGGAGCTTGCGTGGCATGGGCACCTCCAATTACTTGAGGCCACGAATAAGGTTTCGTGGACCCCGACAAAAGTGTCAGCCCCCATGTCCTGGTGGTCCCGCAGGCAGGAAGCTGCCCCAAAGTTCTGACAAGCCCAACAACGGGGCGGAAAAACAGGAAACTGCACGGATGCAAAGCCAATGATCGGGCTCACCGCATTCTCACCATAAACAATCCCAGGCTGCCACTGGTCACCGAAACCACAACCTCAAGATGTGGCCCACGGCAAATCGCCACGACATGTAGGCTGATCTTTACACCCAAGGCAGTCGTCAAAGGGATCAGCAACAATGCCGTGTTCACCTTTGGATGACGTGTGGTGCCAGCAACAACACCACAGTCCTACCATCCACGACTCTTCATGGGAGTTTCTGCTAAGGGGTGCTAAGGGATCTACAAGGCATATTCTACATTTCTTCCTGGCGTATGATTGAATACAATAATTTGATTTGGGTCCCTTGTACTCAAATCATGAGAAAATGTACACTGACCCGTTACTAAACAAGCCTTTTTAGCATAGTGGTTAGTGGATGTGTTTCTGAGACCCACCTGCCAGCGACAAGCTGCCCTCAAATGCGCCACCGCAAAGTGACATGAGCCAGTTCCACAGGGAGCTTGCGTTGTGAAATGATATATTGTGTTATATAATTGTTAGGCTTAGTAGGTTACCGAACTCTACTGTAGATGGTACAATCCCCTCCTTGTATTCCTCTCTCTTTCTAGTCATCCCCTTTTTCTCTCGTCAAATCTCTCTCTCCTAATTCTACTAGCTCCTAAAACCTCACGCCACTTTCATGTCGTCTTAGTTCCTAGTTTGACATGGTTTCAGAGCGGGTCGTTTCTCCTGGGCCCGCTCCCCACGCTTCCGCCTCGTACCTGTTCGTTGCTTGCCACCGTCGCGGCCTTCCATTTTCTTTCCGCCGTGGCAGCTTCTCCGAGATGCCGCGGCGGCTTCTTGGTGCGGCCGTCGCAGCACGCAGCCGTGGCGGCGCCGTCGGCGTCGTGTCGCAGCCGTCTCGTCTCGACGTGCTGCCGTGGCGTCGCGCCGTTGTGCCGTCCGTGGCATCACCGTCGACGTCCAGCTGGTGGCGTGATGGCGCCGTCGGGCTGCCGTCGCAGCGTCGACATCCCGCTGCGGCATCGTCGACGCCGCTCTGTGACGGCGCCATCGGGCTACAGCCGACCGCGCGACGCATGTGACCCCGCTGCCGCCCGCACGCCAGCTGCCCTCCTTCCCCTGCGTCCCCTCCTCCTCGCCACAGCCTACGCCTGGCGCGTGGGGGACCCCATCGCCGTCGAGTTTGGACGTGCCGC